CAAAATCTTTGCTTTGAAATTATGGCAAGCATAATTTCCAGGCAGTTTTACTGAAAATTAGCAACCTGTTAAGAAACAGATGAGCATGCTGACATATAGAATGAAGCAAGCCACTTACGGTATAACAAAAACTAAAATGCTTCAAATAATTCTATTTTTAAGATTTAGAAATGAGTAGGTCTTATAAATTCAACATTCTGAAATTAGTGAAGAATCATAATTAAACATTTTCAAGTAGTTATTTTATTGTCCAGTAGAAGCTCCCGTCTATTATGAACAGTCTTATCTGCTGTGAACAGTGCTTGTTAGCAGCTGAGTTAAGTTGAACTTGGTTCTCAGCACTGGAAGGGTAAGAGCAAACTTTAGTCATCTTTAACTACCGAGTAAGACACAGAACCGTAATTTCAATGCTATGGCATAAATTACCTAAGCTGACTTTGTTATCCTGTCAATGTTGAACTGATTTAGAAAGGTTCCTTTCCTTTCTCCCTCTCTCGTTTCTGTCATGAGTTGTCAGATCACCCTTGTTGAATGGTCAGAGAAGTTTGTGGATTTATGTATCTTTAAGTCTATGAGCCTGAACCAGAACTTGTTTTCTTGTTTTGGGGGGGGGAGGTGCTTGTTTGTTTTGGAAAGGAATATAATAGTACTTACTCTATAAAGTCTGTATCTCTTGTCTTGGTGTTTGTCCACTTCTATAAATAAATAGCCTGGCTGATCTCATAAACGGTAGGATTATATACTTCTACAAGATGTTGTAGTGGCAAAGAAAAGTGATTTCTAGATAGTGGTACACATTAATTTTTTTTCCAATTAGTGCAGTCAGTATGTGAGCATTGATTGTCTGATAGGATCCATAGAGCATTTCTGCATGCTTGTGGGAATATGATCTTTTGTTAAATAGAAGAGGAAATTAAGGCAGATGAGGGGGGGAAAAGACTTGTCCCAGTTATTTTCAGTGTTTTATCCAAGAGACAAAAATAATGTTCTGAATTTTATTCTGTCTTCTCATGCTTAATGAACACCGAATTTCTTTACATTTGATTCCTTTTCTTGTTAATCGTCCTTGGGCTAAGGTAGACATTGAGCATCTGACCGCAGGCTGAGCTATCCTATGTCATAGCTCTGTCACTGTCTCCATCTATTGGTAAGAAGAAGTAATGCTCTTGCCTGAATATGCAGGCTTTTTTTTTTTTTTTTTTTAGCAGAAATAATTTAAGCAACAGTGAATTGTGCCCTAAATGCACCCTCTTTCAGTTTGAGGATTTTAAAGTGTCATGGGATGTCACCTTTTGGAGATGGGGTGTGTGTGTGTGTGTGTGTGTGTGTGTGTGTGTGTGTGTGTGTGTGTGTGTCTTTGTGTGGGTGGGTGTCTTTTAGTGATAATAGTTACTTAAAATTTATATATATTGTGAGTATTGTGGTACACGCCTGTATAATCCCAGTACTCAGGAGGCAGAGTCAGATTTGTGTGAATTGGTAGTTCCAGGACAGCCAAAGCTATATACTCTGATCCTGTTTTGAGGGAAAACGAAATCCTAAAATTATATATTAGCCAGATTCTTTATTTTATTCTTTAGAAAATGAGGTTGGTATCATGGTCCAAAAAATATTTTAATAGCAAGAAATCTGCAAAAATCCTGACAGTTTTTGCATATTGAGAATCTTGGCTTTTATGTCATTGCTTATGACTTGCTAATGAAGAGCTCAGTATAGCTTCTGATGCATCCCAGATATTCTGGGTGGTGACTGGCTAAAGGATTACTGACATCACAACATACAGCTGTTGATTTCTATTGTCTCTTAGCCCTCAGTAAGTGCTGTATTCTGCTCCTGGTGCCTGACTAGTCAGAGAGAGAGACAGAGAGACAGAGACACAGAGAGACAGACACACAGAGTCAGTCTGTGTCTGTGTTTCTGTAGAGGAGCAATGTAGTCAGTGTATAGACAATATGGAACACGTACCTTCAGTAACTCTGTATGATGGAGCAAGGGCCAGGACAATGAAGGTATGTGATTCTGAACTCATTTGTTAAATGCATATGGAAGGTAATCAAGAGATAAATTATTTTTATTAGTGGATATATGCAATCAAATCCAAAAGGGCATTTAATAATATTTATTTTTACAAAGATCTGTGTGCATTTAGATGGGTAAGAGTCATGTACTTTGCTGCAATAATGCCAGTTTCTCCCTATACCTTAGATTTAAAAAAGAATTTATGTCCTGTGGATAGTGCAGTTTACCTCTGTGCTGATTTGTATTTGTATATAGCAGATGCAGTTGCCAGTTGAAAATAAACTTGTCTTGTTCAGGTCTGTTTTAAAATGGATGGTTACATGGCTTTTTCAATGTTTCAATTTTCTTATGGAACAAATACAATGTGAATGGAATACTAACTGGAAATAAAGACTGAGCACCTTGACTTTCAAAACCCATGTTAATATCTGTGCCCTTGATTGGGGAGGTGTAGGAAATTTTTAAAGTGCTTAGGAAAAAAAAAATGTTACAAAAAGGAAAAATGCCAGTCTAATGTTTGAAATTATCTGATGTCTGAAAACTTTGCATCCACCTTGTTTTCTGGTTCCTCAAAACTGGGCTCTTAACCTCTTCTGTTATGCTAATAACGACAGCGTATCCCCAAGGGCTAAGTGGCTTGTTTATAAAAGAGTTCACTTGTGTTTTACCTAAAATTAGTTGAAATTTCAAGATTTGCAGCGATGGTATTTGTAAACCCCTTGTATAACAGTTCTTTTGTTCTTAAGAAATAACTCATTTGTTTTAGAGAACATAGGAAAATCACTAAATGGCTGTTTATGAATACTGACCATCATTTTTCTTCCTCTTGTTTCTCCAGTTATCAACTCTGTAATTGGGTTCATAAATAGACTAGTACCTATTATTGAAACTAGACTTTCATCAGCTGTATCATTTCAACCTCATGCTCAGAAAATACCATCACCATTTCTTCTTAAGCTTCGGATTTTTAAAATTTTATATTGAAAACTTCCAAAAAAATAGAAATTAAAATGAACAATATTGACATATTCTTAACTGCTCTCACCCAAGCATCCTAGTCCACCTTTAATCTTCCCCTCACCCGGTCCCCGTTCCTTTGGGGTTTTTTTGTCTGTGGATCTTTGCCTCTTCTCTTGCATTTATCTTCCCTCTTCCCTTTTCTTTCTCACGTTGTCTCAGGCCGTGTCCATCAGAAAACTGCTGATCGACTTAGTGGCTCACCTTTCCCCTCTCAGATCCTATATTCATTTCTTCTCTCCTCCTCTCTTTCCAACATTAACTGCTTTTCTTTCTATTTCCGTTTCTCTCCTGCCAGTTTCTGGCCTGTCTTTCTGGTGACCTGTGTCTGGCCACGTGCCCTCCTCCCTCCTCCATGTCCCACCTCTTTGCTTCTCTGGTTGTTACGTCTGTGTATGGCTCCTGCTTCCCACTACTGGTCTGGGGGGGGGGGGTGGTTGGTTTCCATTCTTCCCTCTCATGGCTCTTTCTCCATATAGTTTCATTGACTGTAGGTGCGCAGTTGATTTTAATCTGTTTTTGTTGTTGCTGTTTGGTCGGCAGCAGTTACTGGTTACATTTTAATTCATGTTAAATTCTGTTCTCTTTCAAACTGGTATGTATAAGAGTTATGATCCTAAAGTTATATATTTAAAATAAACAGACTTCTAGCTTTTATTCAGTTTTTTAAAACTTCATGCTTGGGGCATTATTATTGGATTGAAACTATTATATATTGAGAATATTTCTAAATGCTTTGTCTTCCCATGTTGTACATGAGTAGCTTATTAAGAGACAGATCTCTTAAATGTTTTTTCCTATTAAATTTTCAGGTTTATAGAAAGCAATTATAAATAAAGATACTGTAGCTAATTCCCTCTTCATAATAGTGTTGTAGTGTATTTTTCAATACCTTTATGACCTTTTTATATTATATAAATGCTGTTTTGACATAAACCCACCCCACTCCCACTGAAATCTAGCACTTATTACTTCTATGTTCTTTTAATGACTTTACTGCTTTGTTAGTATTTCCTTTATAAGATTAGATCCTTGATGAGGTGGAGGTGAAGTTAGACCCCCCCCCCAAAAAAAAACCAAAACATTGTCTCTGTAAACCTTTTCACTCCTCTGCAGCTAACCAATACGCATTTCAATTGATTTGTGTTAATTTTGCTACAGAATACAGCCTGACCATTCCTAATCCCCAAAACCAAATGCAAAATAACCTTTTTGAACAAAATGATGCCATAAAGAGAATTCTACATTTCATCTCATGTAAAAGGCAAAATAAAAGGAACACTAAAAATATAAATAAAACTACCTCCAGGCCAGATAGGTAGGTAGGTAGGTAGATGCTTAAACACCTTACTGTGTATCTGTGTATGGTTGGTTGGCTGGATATACATGCATATATGCACGTGTATATGTAAATACTATTTAAAGTGTATGGTGTATACGCCTGCTTGTCTATTGTATATGCCTACTTGTCTGTATATGTGCCATATGTGTTCTGTTGCCCAAAAAGGCCAGAAGAGGGTATCAGAGAACCAGGAGTTGGAATTACAGGCAGTCATGATAGTCATGCTGATAATGGATGCTGGGAAGTGAACCTAGGTCTTCTGCAAAAGCAGCAAGTGTTCTTAATCTCTAAGCTCCAAAATATGATGTGCCAAGATATACTGCTGTTATCCTGAATTATAGCCTTAAATCCATAGTTACAGTTGTGAGTGAAACCGTAGCTCTTGGAGTTTGAGTGGTTCATGAAGTAGAGCTGCCGTCGTCCGTGCTGCGCTCACTCGCCATAGTGCAGACTCCTTCCTCTTCTCTCCCCCTCTCTGCCTTTTCAGTCAGCTCTGTTGTCTCAGGTGACTCCTGGTTTATATAGCTAATACACTCCACAGTTAACAGTCCATTTTCCTGTCCTGGTTTTTTGTTGTTGTCGGTTTAGGTTTTTAAATATTTTTTGTTTGTTTTAATCGTAGGCTACCGAAAGGTATGATATATTTGATCCAAGACAGTCCATTTCAGCCCCGGAATCTACAGTGGTGACAAGGACATGGGACTCCTCCTGCCAGATTACTGTTGGTTCAATACAATTGACATCCTGGCTGACAACTGTGAAAAGGAACCTTGGGTTATTTTATTTTATTTTTGTGGAACACCACAATCCCAGATCCATAGGACACATCAGGTAATATTCTTCTATTTCTTTGGATGACCCTGCCTATCTTGGAATTGCTCTGTAGGCTAGCCTTGAACTCACAGGGATCTTTCTGCCTCTGCCTCAGGATTAAGGGCATGTGCCACCACTGTCGAGCCAGGGCAATTTCAGCTTGGAATTTTAAGAATATAGGTGTAAACTGTGGCAGGGAAATACATCTACTATATGACAATAGTGAATACTCAAAGTACAGGAGGATGTGGGGCAATGTTCATAGTATTCCTTGAAGAAAGATACTGTAATGTTGGTAAGTATACTTAATTATTTAGCCATCACTTCCCATTTTGATCTAGCTCAGGTCTCTTCTGACTGTATTGTGACATTTTAAGGAACATCTACTCTAATATTATAGTCCTTGAAGGTAGGAATTTTGCTCTTGTGTGCATTCAGCATTATTCTAGGAAGATAGAAGTACTTAGCTAATATTATGTAGAAATTGAATGTAAAGAATGCCTCAAACTAAATTAAGATTACTTTTCTTTTTTGCCAAGGCTTCAAGTTCCCTGTAGAATTCTAAAATAACCTTTGCTAATGAGGATGTCTGATATTGTTATTATAAAAGATGAAACTGAAACAATGAAGGATTTGGAGGCAGAAGTGAAAGATACAACCAGAGTTGAAAATCTTATTAAATCAGAAAACTATGGGAAGATTTTGCCAGAGAAGAATGAACATTGTATTGACAACAATATTGATTTGCAGGTAAATAGAGTTTTCTCCATGGCTACAAATACCTAACATTCATTGTATAAGTATGCTTCTTTTCATATGGAACTCACTTTTCACATTCTTCATTTTTTGTTTATTTGTTTTCAAGATAGGGTTTCTCTGTGTAGCTCTGGCTGTACTAGAACTCGCTCTATAGACCAGACTGGTCTCGATCTCAGAGATCCATCTGCCTCTACCTCCTGAGTAAAGATGTGGGCCAGCCACTGCCCAGCCGTTTTTCACAATTCTAAAAGGGAAAGTTGACTCTTTGGTACAGGTTTACTTGCTTATTGTTTAATTGTCTGGACAGCTTGCTGAGTCTTAGGTCTTTGATTCGATTATATGCGTCACATGATATGATTCTTTAAATTTGTATGCAGCCATTATGTTTTTATTGGCTTTCTACCTTTACATTTCACTCCTCTTCCTGTGCTGTGATTGATCACAATTTAACCTCAGAGCTCTTAGAGGTGATTGAAGTAGACTGGTCAAACCTGCAGAAGATCTACTAGCATAAACCGCCCTCTAGTGGTTTCCCCGTCCACATCAGCCATTTCTGAGTAAAGAAGCTTGTGGGGAAAGGGCAGATGTTACCTAATACTTTTCTTGGCTGTGCGTACATGGTAATTTAGAACCAACCATTGAGGCTTTTAATTCCTGGCAGAGATTGGAAACTTAAGTTTGAGGAAATAGTTGGACATTAAGTGTACATTTCCACGATTTGTCTAGTATGGCAGTCCCAAGAGAGCCACATGAATTATATGGCAACTCAGGCATCCTAGGGAGAATGTTCTAGGAGGTAAGAGCACTAAACAAGGCTTGGCTTCTGGCTCATGTCTGAGAGCCTCCTTCTCACCATCTTTTAATGCTACATAACAGATGATACCAGCCTAGAGGAAATGTGCTTGGATCCTGTTTGTAGGTGTAGAAAACCATTTAATAAGACTCTGACATTGTACTCTTGTGAATTATTTTTCAATGCTTTACTTCAAAGGGTATTGGCTTGAGGGAACAGGTAAGAGACAACAAAGTAATAACAATCTCAAGACTGTTAAGAGCAGCTCAGGAAGCCAGTCATGGTCAGAAGTAGAAGGATGTGGTATTGTAGATCATCTCGGGTACATTTGAAGTTTAAGTCTAGCGTGGGCCAATTCTTTATTAGGGAAAAGAGAAAGCACAACCCCGTAAGGCATTCCTGAGAGTGGTAGAGTAGGCAACAGATCTCTTAACTGATGAGACAGATGCAAAGTGAAGTGTAGGCCAGGCCAGGTCCAGAAGAAGCTGCGGTGCCTGTTAGCATACCAAAGTGTGTGCTTTCAGGGTCTCACAGTGTCGCAGGTGCCTCTTCCGAGAGCCCATGCTGGCCTCCTGGCAATCTCAGCTCTTCCCCAGCCTCTCACTCCATTATGACCCGACTGTTTCAGGGATGTGTGTCTTCTCTTGTGTCGTGTGTGTGTCATCGTCCCCCCCCCCCCCCCTTCCTTTTCCTGGATTCTCTTTGTCTGTCTTCGCTCTCTGGCTTGCTTGTCATGGCGCAGTCCAGTCTGTGGCCTTGTCCCGTGTTTGACTTTGTCTTTCTGCTGGGGACTCTCCCAGTTGCCTGGGGCGTTTCTCTCCCGCATGTGTACAATCAACGCCTCCCCTCAGCCAATACCTACGCCACTTCTCGTATTTATCCCTTTGTTGTCTTTACCAATAAAGCTTGTTTTTAACATCTCGATTTCAACATAACTTTTGTCTTTTAAGCCTATTTAGATGGTCTAAACATTAAAGTTTAACACTTTAAAAACTTAGAATTCACTTTACAAAATAACATTTTATTCTTTAAAATTATTTCTACAATTTGTTGTTTTCAGTTGGTCATATATAAGTCTGGCGGGGGCATTTATAATCATGGAGATGAAGAAATGCTTGAGTGATTGTGCTTGTTGTTTTATTTTATTTATTTATTTGTTTGTTTGTTTCATCGGTTCTCTTAAGAAAACATGGTTTTGTCCGGTGGTTGTGGCGCATGCCTATGATCCCAGCATTCTGGAGACAGAGGCAGGTGTATCTCTGTGAGTTCGAGGCCAGCTTGGTCTACAAGAGCTAGTTCCAGGACAGGCTCCAAAGCCACACAGGGAAACCCTGTCTCGATAAACAAAAAAAAAGGGGGGGGGGGTGGATAAAACATTATTTTATTTTGATAGAAGTCGGCAGCCTGGCATTGTTAGTTTTCACTCCCCATTTTTACCTTTAGGTAAGTAACTGAATCCTTCTATTCTTCCACATAATTAATTACTCTTAATCCTCTCTATTGTACTGAAATGACATGCAAATTAGTAACCTGCAAGGTGTGGTCTTACTAAAAAAGTTTCAGCTGCTCAGTTTACTTTGTTAATAATTGAATGAAAGAATAAAAAGGAAAGGACATGGCGGCCTCTGGGTATGGTAGAAGAGAGAGCTTATCATAGGCATGTGGGAGTTCGTAGACAGGCAAGGACATCTGGCATAGTCCAGAATTGCCGTGACCATGTGGGGAAAGGGGGCGGGGAAGGAAGACAAGACAGGGAAATCAGATGCAGCAGATTGTATAGGGAAGGGTGTGCCAGCCAGGAAAACCCTGTTACAGCTAGACTGATTAGATATGTTAAGTAGGCACCTCAGCCGTTTGTTCTGGCTTTGAAACCTAACAATAATAAATTAGTGATTATAAATAAAAATGACTCCCTTCATGAAATAAGTACGTTTCTTCTAAATTGTGTGATATTGGACTGGCAATTACTTTATGCTAGCACACAATATACCCATGAAGATTACTTGGATCTTCCTCCGTTTTTTTCCAAACTCTAGTAGCTGGTATTTCTGCCAGTGTGCCATTAGTTTAAAACTGAGAATCCATTAAGAATGTTCTGTCTGTATTCTGCACCCATTTGTTGTCATTTGTTCTGTCTGTTCTTTGATGTAAACTGGATAAACTATATAAATTGGGGTTTGTCATTCAACTTTCTAAATTCTAATTCACTTAGTATTTCTCACTACTAGTAAAGGGCTTAAAAGAGTTGCTATATTTTTACTGTCAAAATAAGGTTCTGTGAAAGATGGAACGTGTGCTCCAAATAAATAAAACCTACTTTAAAAAATGATTATAAATCAAACTGTGAGAATTCCTATTTAAAGCCAAGTCTGGCTGCCAAACTGGCAACAGAATAAAAATAAATGAATGAAGGACATCTACTTTTATAAGCAGAGATAATTTTCTAGGCTCTGTTGTATGTGTTGGTATATATGGCAGATATTTTTAGTATTATATCGTATGATCTTTTACTATTTGATATGAAAAGGAATAAGTAATTTTAAGTAATAATGGCACTCTAGCACTTTACTAATCTAATGGTGTATTTGTTTCCTCTTGCTGCATAACATATCGACACACACTTAGTAAGTTATAATGACTTCCTGTTGGGAGCTTACAGTAGACTTACCTGGGTTCTCTGCTTCAAGGTGCATTCCTTTTTCAGCATACCGGAGTTGGAAAGTTGGCATAAGATCCATGATTCCTTGGTGGCCTTCTTTATCTTCAGTGCAAACAATGCATTTGAATCCTTTTAATCTCTCTGGCTTTTTTGTCTCAACCAAAGAAAACTCAAGTTTTAAGAGGCTCGTTTGATGGGTCAGACTTACTTCACTTTTTAAATTTATATCTTAGGGTCAGCTGACTAGGAGATGAGCTACTTCTGCAAAATCCCTTCATAGCAGAGCCCAGCTTTCTGTTTCATTAAGTAGCAAAAGGATGGGGAATCATCATTCTTGGGGATGTCTTTGGAATTCCATCTCCCTTGTCTGTATGGTATCTCTCACATATGTGTGTAAGTGGAATATGAGGTTACTGGACTGAAATTCAGATGTTCTTGGGTTCATTTTGACTAATTTCTAACAAATTTTGGACTGGGAGTCCTTAAGACCAGGCAGGAACTGTGTCTACTTTTGTGTGATTTACAGAGAGTGAAAAGCCTACTTGGCCAAGGGGAAAGGGAGAACAACTTGAAACTAATCCACCAATGTACAAGGAGTCTTCTTAGGCAGCATTCCTCTGTGCGAACATATTCAGACTATTTTTCTTGGATAAACAGTAGTTTTGTTCTCTCTCTCCTCTCTCCTCTCTCTCTCTCTCTCTCTCTCTCTCTCTCTCTCTGGCTTTCAGTTTTATTGTTACCTTGGTGATTGATCTACAGTCACAATTGTAAGAATACAGTGTTTTAATCTTTGAAGGCCTTCAGATCCAAAATAGAGGTTTTGACATTTTCATTCTCTTGGCCTGTGTTCCTATTGGCCTCACACACACGTCTTGAATATGTATTGTGTTTGATGCTGAATTGGCTTCCTACTACTAATGACAATAGATGCCAGGTCCTTAACCATATGAGGAGCTGGATTTGAGATGATAGATAGGAAGGAGTCAGAAGGAAAAAGTTTGAAATCTGGGTCTGAGTTACAGGTACTATAGGCTCAAGCACAGACTTCAGCCATTTACTTATGGGAGTTCTCTAATGATGTGACTAGTGAGTGATCTGATGGTTTGCTAAACATTTTTATTGGAGTCTGCCTTCTTTCTGTCATTTCTGCTTGTTGGCTTACCCAGGACCCAGAGAGCAGCTTTCATTACTAAAAACTGGTGGTGTGTTCTTCATGTTTTACTGGAAAGGCTCAGCAGATGAGTGATGAAAGAAGTATAGACTCCGACTCTTTCTCTGTATTATTCAAACATTTTCCTTAGTGAGGCAGAAACTTTTCTGACTTAAGCTAATCGAAATTGCTCAATGGTTTGGTGTGACCGCTTACGCCAACATTGGTGAAAATTTTGGTATAAAATACTGAAGAAGTGTACTTTATTTTGATATGAACAACTCACCTTCAAAGTTCCGTGTTGTGTACATTTAACACAGAAATTTGCTGATTTAAAGAAAATGCCAGTCCACAGAGGGGTTTAGTATCTTCTCCCAGTGTGCAGCTGGAGGAATCAATACTTTTTCTCTAAACAATTTTTTATTTCCTTGTTTAGCAAATCTGAGGTTTAGGTGTATGAATTAAGAAGCAAATTTTCTGTTTGAGTGTGAAATTTAATAAAATCTTTCTTATTATATATTCAGCGGCCCCTGCAGTCATTTGGACAGACAGGAAAAAGGTCTAAGGTATAGTAACTATTTGATGTGCTGGCATGCCAAGGCCTTCCTTCATGCTTGATGAATTCTTGTTTTCATACAGCACTACATTCAGTTTAGTTTTTTTCATCTTTGGTTTGGGGCAGAAAGCTTCTTTTGTTTTATTTGGGTTTTTTTTTGTCTTGCCTAGTCGCTTTTGTGCATTGCTTTTAATTATCCTTGGCGGGTTTTTTTGTTGTCCTTATTTTTTAACTATAGAGAAAAATTGCTTTCTCACCATTTGTTGGATTTGAAATTGGAATTATGCCCATTCTTGCTATTGCTGTAATTTTTAAAACTTCGATTGTTTATTTTAACTTTCAAGGGGTTTCAGTGCTATTTAATGATATATCTAACTTACATTTCATCTCGTGGTGGAAACTAAAAAGAAATTTAGACACTCTCTAGGGGGCTTTTGAATATGCCCTAGTTTATGAAATGTAGTGTTAATTTTAAATACTTCTCTTTAGTCAAGCTCAAAGTTAAAGCTAGTTCGGAGCCTTGCAGTGTGTGAAGAATCTCCACCACCCCCTGCAGCAGAGATATCACAGGAGACCCAGGTAAACAACAACAAAGCAAAACAAACATTATTTGAAGCCGTGGTGGAGCTGGAGACATTCTTTGATATGGGTCAATAAAAGTTTAGTGTGAATGTATTCTTTCTTTTATATCTAATAAAGGAAACTGATTTGACAATACTTGTTAATGAAATCCAGATGAGTTAGGGAAACTCTTCAGTCTGAGGCTTACAGTAGAGATTCTTCTTTTGGGAAAACATGTGAGACTTTACAATTACCTAGGAATGTAACTTTAAGAAAGTTATAAATTAGCTGGTGGTGGTGGCAAACTCCTTTAATCCTAGCACTTGGGAGGCACAGGCAGGCAGATCTCTGTGAGATTGAGGCCAGCCTGGTCTACAGAGCCAATTCTAGGACAGCCAGGGCTAGGCTACACAGAGACCATGTCTTGAAAAAAAGGAGAAAGTTATGTTATTATTCAAAAGTATCAATATTAAAGTAATTTCAGTGATTATAATTATGTTATAATTTCCCCTTTAATTTTGTGTTTTGGATATTTATTGTGTTCTTATTATTTCTCTGGGAGCTACCTCATCTTCTGTTTAATAGTTTAGTTAGCTTGAATACATAGTAAAGCCAGTGTCCATTTCACGAGTCTTTAGTAGTTGTCTAATACTTCTGTTGGTTCTTATAAAACATAAGATAATGGGATTCAGGCAAACTACTGAGCTTGAAGCCTATATTCTTTCTAATGCTTTGACTTTTTCATGTTAGCCGTAACTGCAGATTGCCTTTGCTTGGTGCGATCTACATGGTGCTTTTGGGTCTGCCGATGATCGTCAGTGTGGTTAACTAGGGCTGATAGTGAGTGACTTCTACTTTAGAAGAGGGTTTAGGCAACTAAAATTAAGTTTCTAAAGAAACAAGGCAACTAGTACTTATTCAAGAAACTAGGAAAAACTTTTTAAAGGAAAGGTCATGGCATGTTGTACATCTATTTTAAAATTGGAAATGTCGTACAGGAGCGGTGGGATCCACCTTTAATTCTAGTACCCTGGAGGCAGAGGCAGAGGCAGAGGCAGGTAGATCTCTTCAAGTAGGCTGTCCTGGTCTGTAAAGCAAGTTCCAGGCTACCTAGGGCTAAACACTGAGCTCTGTCTTAAAAAAACTTTTTGTCTCAAAAAAGTTTTTTGGAGCAAATGTCACTTGTACGTTTGTTGTTCAAGTAAGCCTTTTCTGCTTTCCTGTGGCTAAGTGATGATCTCGAAGAGAAACTGTAGATACTAAAGTTATCTGTCTGTGGCATGCTTATAATGTGTCTTTACAAATCACTATATTTTATTTCTCACACATGAGAAAGGGGAAATTTTACAATAAACTGTAGGTAATAATAAACTAACTTTAAAATCTTTTTTGATAGTCCAAGTATTCAAAATTCATATGTGATTTCCCCCCCCATTGGAACTAGATATGTATGTATTCAATTAATTGTATTTAGCAAAAATATTTTCCAAGGAAAGTCAGAAATAATGTCAAAATATTTTACTGAGTATAGTTGCCTTTAGATTACTTTTAAGCTAAGCCTCTGGGTACTTTGTTTTACAGAATGTGGTTGCTTCATGTTAAGGATTACATGGCTGGGTGATAGGAAAGTTAGTGAGTTGTGGCATATTCAGAAAGGGGAAAAAAAAAACAATAAAATTGTTCTTTGAAATAGCAGTTTTAAAAAAAAAGTTGCTCCAGCTTAAGGGCTGGAGAAATGGTTCAGCGGTAAAGAGTACTGGCTACTTTTCTAGGGAGGGATCCAGATTTGATTCCCAGCACCCACATGCAGCTCCCAACCATCTGTATCGCCAGTTTCAAGGGATCTGACACTTCTTCTGGTCTCCGTAGCGCCAGGCATGCATGAGGTGCACAGATGAACACGCAAAACTCATACACAGAAACATAAATGAAACAACTTTAGAGGAGTTTCTTTTCTGTTTGTTTGTTTATTTGATTTTGCTTTTGTTTTTTTAAGACAGGGTTTCTCTGTAGAACAGCCCTGGCTGTCTTGGATCTTGCTGTGTAGAATAGACTGACCTCAGACTCAAGAGATCTGCCTGTCTCTGCCTCGCTAGTACTGGGATTAAAGGCAAGAGCCATCCCTGCCCATCTTGGAAATTTCTTTTATAATTAAGAATAAAGAATATGACGTGTGTTTTGAAAGTTCATTTCCTCATTCTGTTGACAAAATGATGTACTTTCTTAGCCTCGGCATTAATGATCCAGGGAGTTTGAGGAAATAGGAAGGAGCTGCCGTTCAAGAGTATATTAATACAGAGATATATTAATACCATCCGAGAAAAACTGCTGTGACCTTTTTTTCTTCAGTTTTCGGTTTATTTTACGTGAAAAACATTGGGGGCAATGGGGCTTGTTTTATGATATATTACAGAAACCTATGTAATAAAAATTCCTCTGAAATGTATTTGCTAGGATATTTGTTGGCTATTAATATATATATATATTGATCATAGGTTGTATATTACATTTTAAAAAGTTACACCACCTGTATAAGATGTAATGGCAGAATTCAGTTATTCCTCTTACTAAGCTATTTCTCAGTTTCTCTTAAACAATCATTTTTGTTTGGTTAATAATCTCTTATTGCCTCTCTAAAAAGTACTTAAAAAAAAAAAGTAGAAACCTCTTTTGCATGCCTTGAGTTGACTAAAATGCATTTGAAAGAAAATAAGTGTTCTGCTATCTGTTCTCATCTTTGATACAGTTTCCAACAATTTTTCCCCATGGTGTGTTAATTTTTGATGACTTAATATGGCATAAAACTCATAGGCTTGAGAAGCAATTATAAGAGAGATACCATTCATGTGTGACAAGAGTTTGTAATAGGGAAATGATCTTCATTACAGATGTCCTAAACGTCATACTAAAGTGTAAGGAAATTGCAGCTGCCTATGTATATGTTTGTATTATTTATAGTTGGAAAGTTTACATTGCAACCTTCACATTCAGAATGGGTTTTCTTTATTCAAGTACTCAAAACAGGGTAAACGGATGACAATAGCCTTCTCTACTAGAGTTGTAAAATACAGTTTCTCTTAAGTAATTTAATATCTATAAATTAATACCTACAACTCAGACGAAATACTACAGAAGCAAAATCTGCTAGTCATTGGAAGAACTGTACAGTCGGGCTGAGGACTCAGTGTGGAGTCTTTTCCCCTACATACATCTTATTAGATTATCCACCTAAGTAGTAAGGAGCTTCAAAGAAGTAAAACTCCTAAATGTTTTCCTAAAACATAATTCCATAGCTATTTGCAAATATCTGAAAATTATGGGAAGAATAGAAGCTGGGGGGAGGGAAGCTCAGAAAATAAATCAGTCACAAATACAACATAATGTGTTTGATAAGAAAGACAGAAGGCATCCTGGTAGAAACTTCCAATAGGTGGTGTTTACTGTGTGTTCTGAGCATACAGTATCCTCAGCCCCTGAAATTCAGAACATGTATGTAATGGAAAAAAACAATGAATAGAAGAAAAGAGTAGCTAATTATCTTACTGTTGTATATATAACCAAAATTCTACTAACGGTTGTTTTGAAAATAATTGTATGTGTGGTGGGAAGAAGTTTAAGAGAAATTTTTGCTGGCAATAAGTTTGAGAATCCTGATGTTTGTATCCTTTGTGTTACTGACCACTTCTGCTACTAGTATCCAGAAAAGTTAAATAATTAGCAAAAGTGATTTAGTCTAAGAAAAAGCCACACTTTTATCTTTAGTTGAAATGGCCAGAAGATTATTGTTTATTTCTTGTAATTTTGCCTGAATAAACATAGCTCAACATGATCTTTGCCTTTCAGGGTATATAAATTAATTTTCTAGTAATCTCTTCTGGCTCTAAAATTGCTTTAATAACATTATTTTCAACATAAGATGACTCTCCATTTTGGTCTTCGTTGATACAACAACTTTATAGTTGTTACATATCAGGAAGAAACAGAATCTTATTTGATATCTTTCTAAAACAGCTGTGTGGTGAGTAAAGGAGGCATAGGGTTACATAAATCTCAAGTGAGAAAACAGGTGCAGTGATGTTGAAAACTTTTCTTATTACATTTTTTTTTTTTTTTTAAATCAAGAGAAAGAAGGGAGTGTGCTTATGGGATATTCAGAGAATCCGACTTGGGCTAGCTCCATTGGTAGATTGCTTTCAGCATGCACAGAAAGTCTGGGTTCCATCTCTAGTGCCACAAGAATCAGGTATAGCATTGTACTTTTGTAATCCCAGCACTTGGGAGGTAGAGGCTAGAAGATTAGAAGTTCGGGTCATTCTACTTTATATAGCAAGTCTAAATTGAGCCTAGGACACATTAGACACTATCTCAAAAAGAAGCTGAATGTTGTTAATTATTTTCTTTCCTGGTAGACAATTGATAATTATTTTCCTGGTTGATAATTGTTGTAAGCATCTCCAACTGGAACAGTAGGTCAAGAAGACCTGAGTTCTGACCTCGAGGGTGTTTTGTAAATATATACACTAAAAAGTGTAACAGGAAACATTTATTTTTTCTTAAACAATTTTGAAGGTCTGCTTTAATTCATAGATTAAGATGAACATATTTGGTGTAGTTTTGGTTTTGGTTTTTAGACAGCGCCTTAGTCTGTAGACCAGATTGGTCTCATATTCAGATATCCACCTACCTCTGCTTCCTGCGTGCTTGGATTAAAGGCGTGTGCCACCATGCCTGACTGAACAAGCTCTTTTAACCTTTTTTCTCAAGACATTTTTAAAGTTTTTTGTTTGTTTGTTTTGAGATGGAGTTTCACTGTGTCGACCAAGCTGGCCTCGAATTCATAGCATTCATAGATTTGATTGTCTCTGCCTATGAGTGCTGGTATTAAAGACCTGTTATACTACACCTGGGTGAAGTTGACTTCCAATTTAGATGCTATAATTGGATAAAATGAAATTTTCTTGTCCCCTTTGTCCTTCATACAGTTTTGAGTTACTCAGGAAATGTCAATACTTAATATAGAATTAGTTTGTATTTTCATGGAGTAACTAATTTTTCCTTTCAACAGGAAAAAATTCAAATCCAGTTAACACAATCATTTGAAAAAGAGGAAAAGCCCTCAAAAGATGAAACAGATAAAGAAAAAGCCAGTGATAAGTTGCCCAGAAAAATGTTATCAAGAGGTTAGTAATTTGTTTTCATTTTTTACATAAAAGTTTAGTTCATTATCAACAATTTTTTACCCCTTGAGTAACACACTTCACATCTTTATATTGAGAATGGCATAACAGACTGGAGGAATGATGTAATATTTACTCATCTGGTATATCATGGTTATGTGTAATGCTAAGATTCTCCAACCAAAAATTATACATAAATCTCATTTACTAAGACTGGTCATCAAAATCTCTTTCTAGTTTCACTCATGTTCAAATGCCAGAGTAAGAGTTAGTGCTATATTGTTTCGATGCAAACAACTGGTGTCAAATTGAAAATATTGTTGGAAGTCTCAGAATGTGTCTTCATAGCAAGTTTTAAGAATCTTCATCATTGAGCACTACAGTTCAATATAAATGCTCTGTTAGTTTATAAACTCTGTTGTGTTGACCAGCATTACCAGGATATTGCATTTAAGCGTAAAAATAGACATGAGTATTTGGGAAGTACTTTGGAAGCAAACCTTTGGCACTGCATCTCAAGAATCTTAAATAAATAATTTTAGAACTAAAATTCTTCCAAGTTATTGTTTCTACTTAACATACATTCAAATGAATTAAGCTCTTTATATTTACTATAAGCAGAAATAAGGAAACATGCTTAAACATGAGAATATGAGTACATGAGGATCATTCAAGAAATCAGGGTAAATTTAGTCAGACATTAAATTTAAGAATGTGTATGTTCATGCACTTATATTAGCTCATGTTATGAAGAATATATGCAAGTTGAAAAATAGTGATCATCTGCCTTCACCATAAAGTTCATTTTCTTTCTTTGTCATTTTTTTTTTTTTCTTCATGGGGCTTCTCATTTTACTTAAGATAGACATAATGTACAAAAGGGGAAGGGATTTGTGTTCAAACAACTTTATACTGGGTTTTTGTGTTGTTGTTTTTTAGATTCCAGTCAAGAATACACTGATTCAACTGGCATAGATCTACATGAATTTTTAGTAAATACATTAAAAAACAATCCCAGGTAAAAATTAAATTTATAAGGTTTACATTTGTTTCTAGAGTACCATAATCTTGCTATATATGTTTTCATTATTGAGTTTGAATATTAGGTTAAGATTGTAGCTATATGGGATATAGCATAAACATTTTAGTTTCTTAGGACTAAGATGTTGGTCTACTAAATGCAGGTTTATAAATATCTTTGCATTATGCATGCTATAATGATGTGCAAATTACTCCTATTCTTAGGAATTTTCAGAAATAGAATGTCATCAATATATTTAGAATCTGAATTGGGATTTAGAGAGATTTAATCATGTGTATCTTTCTAGAACATCTTCCATCCAAGTAAGAACTCCGTATACTCAACTCATTATGCTTGTTCTTTCTTTATCCTATAAACTTCCAATCAAAAGCTTTTTGCACTGCTCATTTGAATCAACACTTGAATTGTGAAGTTCGTTTTGCCCAATGTAGGAAGTGATCACTTTTAAACTTTCTGCCAGGGGCCTTTGAGGATCCACAAAAAGGCTACCCACAGTGCACCTCACTAGTACTTTCGTGGGGTAAAATGTACCACGGTTGAGACCCTTCCCTCCAGTTACTAGCTTTGCATTGTGGCATTTATGTGGCAGCAGAATGAAGACGAGACAGTGTCAGTAGGAAGGAGCCTGGGAGTAGCGTGAGCAGTGTCTTTAGTCTCCCCGGGACTTGGTCAGTTGTGCTCCAGCTTGGTTACTCACTGCCGCTCTCACCCAGATTTTCTGTGTCTACTGCTCACTTAATTTTCAGTTTTGCACTTAGCCCCTGAAGGACATCCACCAAAATTAAAAATGGTCTCTTTTGCTATAAATTTGAAAGAAAGCAAGGAAGGTTACATGGGAAGGTTTGGATGGAGGAAAGGGAAAGAGGAAATGATGTAATTATATTACAATCTCAAAAAGAAATGACTTTTAGAGAGTAGTCTTATTTCAGTGAAGAAGCCTGAAGGACCATTGGTTTGAAGTGAATAAGAAGACAAACAGTTGTGTATGATTCTTTCTTTCTTGTTTCAATTCTGTTTCATAGTAGTCTCAGTAGAAAGATTCACTAGTTTACTGAAGAGAAACTTAATGACATTTTATATAAATATGAGGAAGATATATGGTATTCACTGTGTGCTAGAGACACATGCTAAATAATATATGTATAATGAATGTTGTAAAAGGCTGTTTCAGCTTCATTGAAAACCAGAGGATGGGCTGTTAAGAGCACTTCCTCCTCTCCAGAGGACCCAAGTTCAGTTCCCAACACCTACTCACATGAGCTGCCTGTAACTGTAGCTTCTGGAGATCTGACATCCTCTTCTGACTCCACAGGCACCCACATACATGGGTATATATCTACACAATGGTGTATACACAAACACACGTGCACACACACACACACACACACCATGTAAAATAAATATTGTGTGTGTTTATGTGTACAACAGGACAAGCAGAGCATTGTCATTGATATTTGTTTATTCTTCAATACATAGGGTTTCTTTGTGTAGTCCTAGACTCTAGACCAGGTTGGCCTTGAACTCAAAGATCCACCTGCCTCTGCCTCTAGTGCTGAAATTAAAGTCATGTGCCACCACTGCCCAATGTAGTTGACACTTGTAATCCCAGCACTTAGAAGACTGAGGAATGAGGATTGCTGAAAGTTACAGGTCATTGGACTGCAAAATGGAACCGTCTCAAAAATTTAAAAATGAAACATAAACAAACGAGCTGCAAAGGACCATTGTTTGCCTGTTTTTATGTCCCAGCAGATTTTGAAAGCCACTAGGATGTCAGGGACGTTTAGAAAGAGCTGTGAATGTAACAGTGCAACTGAAAACTGTCCTTGAAATGCCAGTTGTGTGAATTACCTAAGAATTACTGAGCTTGGCATGCTAACCTGAGTCATTGCCAGATTTTTAGACAGAATGATACCATATAATGAGATTGGTGTTTTTAAACAACATGGAGGGGGCGGGGGCTAGGAAAATTTCTTTGTCATAAAATACCATAAAGAAAGAGTGTCTAGAAACAAGTAGAGAGATTCTGGAAGACTCGCTAGTACAGTCTTGCAGTCTCTGCTACCCTAGAGACTGAGACACAGACCACGAGTTCAAGGCCAGCTGGGAAGCCTTGAAAATCTCAATATAAAGAAGAAGGCTGGGAGAATACTCAACTAACATTCATGAGGTCCAAGTTTCAATCCCTTTTAAGAAGCTTTTTCATTAATTTGTACTTTATCTTTGGGTGCCAATATGTAACACGAATAAATAAATGACCCAGAGACTGATATTGGGGTTCAAACTTCAAGCTGAAGTTAAGAAAAGCTCTCACTTCAAGCTGAGGCTGAAAGGGCTGATCCCTGCATAAACTATTCAAGCAAGTCTCAAACTGCTACATTTCCTCAGTGTGGCTGGAGAACTAATGCCTTTCCTGAGACCTGGCTTCTGTCTTACACACTTCCATAATGTTGGGATTAAAGGTGTGAGCTACAATTCTCTTTTGGACTGATTGACTCATACGTAGATCTGGGTGGCCTTGGACTCACAGAGATCTGTCCCAGGATTAAAGGTGTGCACCACCACCTCCTAGCTTCTAACTGCTGGGATTAAAGGTATGTGCCTGGCTTCTGTAGCTTGTGGCTGACTTTGCTTTCTGAATCCTCAGGCAAGCTTTAATAAATCATAAATAATATATCACTACAATCCCTAGTATGAGAGCAGAGGCAGGTTTGAAAGATGTTCAGGAAATAATCAAGTTAGGAGTTGATGATTATTTGAATATGGAATGCTACTGAGAATAGCATGTAGGTTTCTGACTGAGCTAATAGCCATCCAGTCTTGCAACTGAGAGTGAGCAGGCAGACAAAAATGTAACACGATGGACAATTACAAGGCTCCAGTTATCAAGGGGATGTGTCAGCATTGAGTTACAGATTCGGAAGTCCTCGGTAAAAATAAAGCTTATTGGAGGTGAGTTTGCCCAGAGGTAGTTAAACAAATGATAAGGACAAAATTATCTTAAAATGTTAAAATTAAAAGGTAGACATGAAGGGAAAGACTTGATCTCAAAAACTGGCAGAAGAATCCTGAGGATATTTGGCCTAGATGTCAGCCGGAGTGTTATAGAAATAATCTGCCTCCCCAGTAAGAAATCACTGGGAAGAAATTAAAAAAGGAAGAGGAGTCTGGCTGTGGCTAATACCTAAAGAAGCCGCCTTTGAATAGCAGATTTCACTAACTGGTATACAATTTAGTCTTATGCTGTCATCCTTAAATCTCTTAAGTCCCAACCCCACTTTACATTTTAAACAGCTTACACAGAGGCTCCCAAGTCTGGCCGCTTAGTTAGATGGCAAAGATATTGCCAGAATCATTTCGTAAGTACACCAGTGTTGCTCTTTCAAATAGTTATTACTTGGGGTCATCTCGCCTATCTGGGGTCTTCATGGCAGGCCAGCACTGAACAGTGATTATGCCCTTGTTCTGCTCCCTGGAGCTTCCTGTGTGGGTAGATCAGTGGTTCTTAAGCTTCCTAACAGTTCCTGGCGCAGCACTGACCCCAACCGTTACATTTAGTTGCTACTTCATAACTATAATTTTGCTTCTATTATGAATAATGTAAATATCTGATATGTGACCCCTGTGAAAGGGTCATTTGACCCCAAGGGTTGCATCTCACAGGTTGAAAACTTGAGGATGGTCCTCATGACTGGTCAGTCCTGGTAATTAAGATTCTGTATCCTGCCATCATAAATTTTGCTTATCTAACAGACTACATAATCTTTGGGGTGTTTGGAGGGAAGGTGTTCCCCTAGTTAGTTAAATTCTACTTTGTGGATTTAATGTCTCTTAAACATACCTATTGGTAAACCCTTCATTACATTCTATTATTTTGAGTTTCTTCTACATTAATGCAGCAGTTTCACATAAGATAAAACAACACAGAGATAAATAGATGTATGCCAAGTTCCTCACATTTGAGTTTAATAAGTACAATAAATATATTGTGTAAACTCATGGAGGAGGGAGCAAAACCGTGGGTAACTGTTGGTAAGGGTTTTGTTTTGTTTTGTTTTTATTTACTTATTTTTTAAGTAATTAGGGTTTGCTCTTATTTAGTTCTGTGTTTTTGTAAAGTACTCCTAAAAATTAACTTTGATAAGAGTTATGTTACACCGCTCTTTCTCACATGGTGCAGAAGCTTGACCAGTGGCACGAAGCACTAAGTAGGAGATAACCTGAGGGAACTTTTGTTTTTTTTTTTTCTGTTGGTTGAAATTGACATGCTATCTCTAAAAGTGTGGTTAACAATGACTAAAACCCTGAAAACCCATATATTATTGCTTCTTCTTTTAACTTTAAGTAGTTTTATGTCATTCTGATTGACATCCTTGTTTTTATAGGTTTAACAATAGCATATATTAGTTTATTTTTTATTTTATTAATTTATTGTTTATATTCCAACCCAGTTTCCTCTCCTCTCCTCCTGCCCCTCCCCCCCTTCCCGTTCCTCCCTTCTGCTCCATGGAAAGGGTGAGGCCTCCCCTAGGTAGTCTACTAAGTCTGTCCCATCATCTCATTGAGGCAGGACCAAGAAACCTCTCCACCCCCACACCCCTGGGTCTGGTTGGGCAGGGGATCTCTCCATACAGAATGGGCTCCACTATTCAGTTTGTGCATGAGTGCTAGAGCTTGGACCACTTTCCAGTGGCCTCATGTATAGGTCACACCATTGTCATCTACACTAGGGGAATATTAGTTCATTTTCTAGTTTATGTCTGTTTACGAAAATACTTATAACCTTGTTTATAAATTTGAAAGTTTCGGGTTTTGGACTACTGCAGTGAATAAAAACCAAGTGTATAAAATTAAGACCTTAGAAAACTTAGTGCTCCTTATGTTTCTAGTACATTATACTAACAGTGGGGAAAGTTAGTTTAAGATAATTGGATATGATAATGATGTAAAAATCACCTGCATTACCATTCTAGGTAAAAAAAAAAAATCCTGACATTCTATCAGTGGCTTATAGAATTGTTAGATTTTGATTTTTTTTCCCCTCTAATTGTAGCACGTTTGATCCAAAGAACATTTGAAATAGCTTCCATCAGCTATTCTTGTACAGAAAACCAATTTAACTATACTACTCTGAATTCTATTAAATAAACTGGTGCTTCATAGTTTGTCTTTTTTAGTAAGACAGTTTATAAAGTGGGAAAATTACTGAAAAGTAATTTGACTCTCTAAGTTCAGATGAAACACAGAATGTAGGGGCTGGAATCCCTAACTCCAGTTCCTCCACAGGCACCAGGCACAGACAGACACACCTGCGGGCAAAACACTCACATCAAATAAATAAGTCTTAAAAAATTAGCGACAACCTAACAGTTAAGCAGATGAGTCTGTTTCATGAGGGAGAGTCCATGGGAGAGAAAGTCCTCTATCTTTCCCCCAAATTTAATGAAAGATTATGTAAGGACTTTATGAGATAGATTTATTTATCCTATGCAAATTATAATTAGTTTAGGACCTGAATATCATATATAATTCATATATTCATATAGTGATAACTGTGATACATGGTTTTAAAAAAATGAAAGAGAGTTTTAAGAGAATATAAAAGGATGCTCTAGGCAAACTGCTAAGGAACAAAGTAGTCCTAGAGGGACTTAAGGAATGAGGTAGGACAGAGGTATTCCCAAATAATGAGAATTTTGTGAGTACATCTGTAAATGAACCCAAGCCCATGCCTATCTTGCAAGAATTTGAATTCTAAGAGCAATAGGAAACCTCTCACAGGTTCAACCAAAGGAATGTTGTGGTTACTTAAATATTCTACAAGACTATTACGCATGCTCCAGCCTGGACATGCCAGTAAGATCTTGTCTTTTAAAAGAAGGGAAAAAAATATCAGTAGGAAGAAAAACGGGACTGGAAAGATTGCTCAGAAGGTACATTTATCTGCCACACAAACGTGACCAGCTACCTTTGAATCCTAGTGTAAGAAACAAAGCTTAGGGCCTACAGTGGTTAAGAGCAATTGATGAGACAAGAGTTTGGTTCCCAGGATTCCCATTGGGCTGCTTAGAGTCACTTGCCCCAGTAACCCTTCAGGCTTCCAAGAGCCTCCTCAGACTTGCGTGCATACAAACACATATACACAAATAAAATCTGTTTTGTTGCTTTGTTTTTTTTTTTTTTTTTTTTTTGTTGCAGGGTTTCTCTGTGTAGCCCAGGTTGTCCCAGAACTTTCACCCTGTAAATCAGGCTGACCTCTGTACTCACAGAGATTTGCCTGCCTCTACCACCTGAGTGCTGCAATTAAAGGTGTGTCACCGTGCCTGGCATAAAATCTTTTTTAATAGTAAAAGAAAAAAATCTGGGCACACCCTTAATCCCAGTATCGGGAGGAGGATACTGGACAATCTTAGGGGCTCACTAGCCAGCAAAACAAATCTGAGCTTCAGATTCAGTGAAAGACCCTGGCCAAAAATAATAACAACAACTTAGAAAGTCATCAAGAAAGACAGTCCCTCCTGAACTCAGTCTAATCATGCATATATGTATGTGGATGCCCACATGGACACGTACGCATACATATTCTCTCTTGTGCTTCCTCATGACACGCAGACACAGCCTGAAATTCTCATTCTGTCATACCACAGAAAATAGGAGGTGGTCGCTTTTACTAAGATGAGGAATAGCAAAAATGAATCAGGTCAGAGGACAAAATTGAGTATTACTAGAATTTGCTTAAAAATGTACTCTTATTTTTGGACTTGGGTTTGAAATTGTTGAAATTTTATAAGCATAGTTTTCTCTTTCTCAACATATTATAAATGTATACAGTTATTTTTTTTTTTGACTAAATGAGTAGACTGAAAGGTATTATTTAGTTTTATAGGAATTGATTTGCTGTACATGGGGAAGATCAAACTCAGTATTGATGTGTGGACATTTGGGTGATCCAAGAAGCAGCTACCAGCTCTTTTGTTAAATTGTAGAAAGTTCTTCTCTGTAGTGTTTAGTTTAGAGAACTCCTTGGGCCTTAGTTTCTTGAACTTAAAATCTTTAGAAGACAGTCTGAAAGCTATTTCTAGCTTTTAGGTTTCTCTGAGATTTTTTGTTTTGTTTCTCACGTGAACATGAAATCTACAACGAGGAGAGGAAAACCCTAGCACCATATTTTCAGTGTATATGAACCAAGACGAGCCAGGCATTGGTGGCACGTGATTTTAATCCCAGTACTCAAGAGTCAGGCGGATCTCTGTGAGGTGGAGGCCATCCTGGTCAGGCAGGGCTGTTAACAGAAAAACCCTGTCTCAAAACAAAATGATCACTCAAAGGAACACATGGAGATACTTACTTGTGTACTGATTCATTTTAGATAGTGAATGTCTTTGCTTCATTTTGAATTTATAAGAAATTTTCTCAAAAATCATAAAAATACTTAATAGCAACTTGCGGAATAGGGAATAAGAGCATTAGATTGCCTCAGGACTATTCAGTACTATCAGTATCTTCTCGTGTTCTTTAGATGACTCTTTCTGTGGCACTAAAGGTAATATAGTTGGCTCTTAGGATGTACACTGCCCTGTCCACATTAGTGTATGTGGAAAACTCTACCAAAAAAGGTTACACTGAAAAAAAAAAAATCATCTTTCATTCTCTTAATTTTTCTTTTTTTAGGAAGCTTATAAATATACTAGCACCAGGATTGTGTTATCTCTGTGTTGTTTCTAGGAGGAAAATAGCTATGTAAATTTCATAACCTGTTGACGTTTATCATTACTTCAGTGCTAAGTTTTACATGTAAGAGTTTTCATACTTTCTTTCAGGGACAGAATGATGCTGCTGAAATTGGAACAAGAAATTTTAGATTTCATTGGTAATAATGAGTAAGTTCTGACATTTAACAAGAAAAGAAATTGTCATTATAATTCTCCTTGACTTACTAAATTAGCTGTTTCTCTTCCTTCAGGTCCCCACGTAAAAAGTTTCCTCCAATGACATCTTACCACAGGATGCTATTACACAGAGTGGCTGCCTACTTTGGATTAGACCATAATGTTGACCAGAGTGGAAAGTCTGTCATCGTGAACAAAACTAGCAACACAAGAATGTAAGTGTCCAAAGTATGTCCTATGGACTGATAACTCGCCTTCCTACAGCACCTTCCATTTGTGGTAAACTGCATAACTTTGAGTGATAGAGCCACAAAGTACATTTATCTTGCTAGGAACAAAATGCATCCCTGGATTCAGACAAGGGAGATGAGCCTTGTCTGAGACAGCAACAACACAACAACCTCGGAAGACGTATTGTCAGCTGTGCATGACAGCCACTCTCTTAATGAATTTTTGACGTTAGATTAGGTTTCCATGGCCACCTTCAGGCAATTTTGTTTAAATAATTATAAAAAAGAAAAGGCATTGAGGAGGTTTTGACACCCTCACATCATTTCCAAAATACTCTTTTGTTTTGTTTTGTTGGTTTGTTTGGGCTTTTTTGTCTTGTTTTATTTTGTTTGTTTTCCCTTTTCTACCTCAAATCTGAAGCAACTGGAACTCCTGGTTAGTATAGTGTCTTGCATACTGCTCTGTTCCTTCTTTGCTGAGGAAAAAGTTTAAATGGTTGGAAGGAGCCCTTTGTTTCGAAAGTAATTGTCTTTTAAAGGACCTTTAAAGACTGGGCTGCGAGCTCAATAGGATAACACTTGCCTAGCAATGATTAAGGGTGTGGGCTCAGTCCCTTGAGTTAATAAAAAGTCCTCTAGTCTCATTCTCTGTAGCACAGGGATTATAGGCCTGTGCCAACAAACACAGTACAAAAAGCATTTTGTATCATTTTCATTTATGGTAGAAAGGGACCTCAGATGATAAGTAGCAGTCTGTCTCATCCTTCACTTCATTATTATCTCTGCCTTTCCTCAGGTCAGCTCTCTCAGAGTCTTGTCTATGTAGCACTCATTTGAAATGGTGTATTTGATTCATCTGGTCCCTTCAGTTATCATGGCCTTTGCCAATATAGCTACCATGTTACTTGCCCAAGCATAATTGATGCTCACCAATTTCAGACAGTCTTTGTCAACTAAATAGGTGGTTTTCGTATTTTAAATGATTATTCCTACAGCAAAAACTAATAAAAGTAGTTGTCTTGGATGGAACATCCTCATTCATCCCTGGGAATTATTAGAATATATAAATCTGATTTATCCATTCATCTTATAGAAACATCTTTTATCAGTGAATCTTTTCCCAGTTAATTATATAATGACTAAAGTAGGATAGTATTCAGTAAGACACATGTGAAACTGGAAGTGACTAGAACTTTACTCTCTTTAACCAGTACCTTTCAACGTTACTCAGAGCTGCTGGATGCCCAAACACATGAACATTAGCAGGCATTTTGACTAACTTTTTGACTGACAACTCTCTAAGGTTTTCAATACAGTGTAACCTCAGTTGTTTGAATTCTGTGAGTGATGTCAGAAAAGTTTTAGGGTTCTTGTTTGTAAAGGTCATCAAAATTTAGTTAATCAGAGATACTTATGAAATTATGTGTTATTGTAATTAGAACTATTTCAGATCATTGAAGTTACACTGTATTCTTACTTTATATCTTCTGGGATCTGAAGAAGGTTGTAAATCAGAAAACCTTAGAGATCTGCTCCACATTGAATAAAAACAAACTTACCTTTTCCTCATAGGGAGATTACCCGCTCCAGCCTTGAACCAGTGGTGTTGTGGATGTCAACAACCGGGTGTCCACTGGGGTGTCTCAATGGAGCGGGAAGTTGCCGATTGCAGGGCAGTAAATTCAGGCATCTTTAAAAGAAAGAGGTAAGACAGTCTTAAGGTTAGCTGAAATGCCTGCCGTATTTTGTGTGGGAATCCAGCTGTTCTTAGAAAAGTTGCCAGGGCCTTGGTTAAACCCAGAGTTCACTTTAGAATGAGAATCCTAAACACAGAAGCCTCAATTAAGAATATGTGACTTTGCACAGCCACAGCTGTAGGTAATAACAGTAAAGGACACAATCCTATGACAGATGGCATACTGTCATGGTCGATAATGAATACCTAGCCTTTCAAACCCCTAAAGAAAACAGACTTCTCATCATTTTGGTCCTGAATCATTGTGCTCTTACCTTCTCCTTTACTTTTGTGTGGATTTTTTTTTTTTTTTAATCTGCTCTGTTTCATCATTTTACAATACAGATTTTTTTTTTTCATCTTGCTTAGAGAATCCTCATCTTTAAATCTCTTTTTGTATAACATATAGGAGTCAGCTACAGTGTTTTATTAAAAATTTGGTAGATTAAGCTGAGTGTGGTGGCACATGACTTTAATTCTAAAACTTTGTAAATAGAGACAGGGGGAATCTCTGTTAGATTGAGGTCATCCTGGTCTACACAGCAAGTTCTAGACCAACCAAGGCTACACAGTGAGACCATATCACAAAAAGAAAAATTATTTGCTAGACTGAAACAAATACTTACCCATGTATTTTTTATTTTCTTTATAATGAAATACCTGGTCTTGCTTTGCCGAAATGTCATTTATTGATTGCCGGGCATGATGATACACACCTTTAATCCCAGCACTCAGGAATCAAAGTCAGGCAGACTCTGGGAGTTAAAGGTCAGCCTGGTCTACAAAACAAGTTCTGAGCTAGCCGGAGCTATACAGTGAGACAATGTCTCAAAAAAATGAAATTTTACTCATAGTATTCTCATATTGCTTATTATATATATATTTAAACTGTATATCAAATATATTGTATTATTTCTATTAGCATGTATAGTATATAATTTATATATATAACTGTATAGGGTATTCATTAAATTTTTCTAGGTGCATTAAATGTTATATAGTGTTATATTTTAAAGGAGTAATTCCAATGTAAAATGGTGTAAGTTACAGAATACTGGTTGAATTAACTGTTGGAGCTGAGAATATATTAACATAGGTCAATTTTAACGTAACCTTAATGTCTCAACTTCATAATCATTTATCTGTCTTCTAAGTCTTAGTGAAACTTTCAGCATTTCTAATCTGAAAAACAAAACAAAACAAAAAAAACAACATGCTACAGAATAGACTCTAAACTTCACAGTCATTTGGTCATTGCCTTAGTTGCCAGTGTTAATCTCTGCATAAGAGCTTACTTTTTCTAACCTGTTTCAGTTAGTATAAAATAAAGCCACGCACTGAAGTCTCTTAAATCTTTAGTTAATTCAGTCCAGAATACATGATTGCTTTCATTTTATGCATGTGATATAGTACTTAGCTTTTCCTTTGTCCATGCATAGACAGGATATCAGCCTTGAGGTCTGACCCCATGGGCTCCACTGTGGTCTAGTCATGTGTTTATCCTTTGATGACTTTGTCACAGGCGCTTTAATCTCTTGAAGGCCAGCTACCTCAGTATTCACTATGATGACAGAGTTCTACTGGGTGCTCTTCCTTTGCTATTCATTTTAGCTTTAGAACAATATATATATTCCCATCTAACACATGGAAAAAGCTGGAAGAAAAAGGTTAAGTACTTACGTGTATCTTAAAGCCAGTACTGTGTTGAAAAGCTAGACTTGACTCCAGAGCCTATGCTGTTTTTAAACAAGCCTCTACAGTATCCTGTAGAACAGTGTTTTGTCATGAAAATCTTACTATGATGAAGTGAGATAATAGTAGTGTGTCTTAAGTGGCGCTGGTAAATAGAAATATTAGTTTATCAACTTGCATATATTATTTCACTTTTCTGTAAATACTGTACATTAAACTTTTTGTCCCTTTGTCTTGCTTCTTTTTTTCAGACCTGATCAGAAATTTAATGAGCACATTAAGGATGATAGGGGAGAAGACTTCCAGAAACGATACATTCTTAAGAGAGATAACTCTAGCTTTGATAAAGATGATAGCCAGGTAATCTTGAGGAAAATGCTACATTCTTTTAAATTCAGGCTTTAATTATACCATTAGTTCACTTTCCTAATAACCAGTTGTTTTTGCCTCTTTAGATGAGAATACGTTTAAAGGACGACAGGAGAAGCAAATCCATAGAAGAAAGAGAAGAAGAGTACCAGAGAGCTAGAGATCGGATATTTTCCCAAGATGTATGTGCAGACTTACCCTTAGGACTTTATATGTAACGACCTTCCAGTCCCCCCTTAAGCTATTGATCATGTTATTCTTTATCATAATAATTACATACACACCAGATCATGTTATTGAAAGTAAGCGTATTGTTAATCTTAATTTGATAGTGCATTGGAGCAACATTGTAAAGTTTTACCAAAATTGAACATAGGAATCAATAGAGGATGGGAATGAGTTTCTGTTTTTTAGAACTGTTTTAAAGCTTATGATAAACGAGGATTTAACAGCTTCAATAACTGTAAATCTTATGTTATTTTGTAGTGAATTTAAAACTTAAAATTGAATCTCATAAAATAAAGCTAGCTGATCGTTTAGATTGTCATTATCTACTTTATAAGTGATATATTAGCAACATCTACATGACTGATTATTTTATGCATATTTGCCAAAACTAAATAGATTTGGTTTTACCGATATTGGTTGTATATCTGTTCTATGCAATACTTTAGTACTTTTCAAGGATATATGGATGAATGTAATACGTGATTCTTCTGCCACAGATAGAACTGTCCCCTCTGTTGAAAGCAAAACAGAGCAATAAATAGCATTACAATTTAGACCATCAATTAAGAATTTACAGTGTATAATACATAACATTGAGAATTTATGTTAAGTGCTATGCTGGACACTGAAGACCATATACATGGACAAGCATGATTTATATACTAAACAACCCTTTGTTGTCAGTATTATATTTACAGATAAGGAAACTCAGGAAATAGAAACCTGTGGTAAAGTGGCCAGAATAAATATACCTACTGGGTAGGAATTTTAGTCCAGATCTGCTGAACTCAACATCTGTATTACATAAATGATTTTCAGTACTTTATAAGCTAGATGGCATACTGCCATTGATAAGTTGTCAGGGACACACATGGAAGTTTAATAGAGTCACAGTAGACAGAGAAGCACTACAAAATTGATCTGGGGAGGGGAAGAGAGAGTAAGCTTTGAGAGCCTATCAGTTTAAGTAGAAAACCAGTATTTGCAGAGGCTCACAGGAAAAGAACAACTTGAAATATGAATGATTGAAAGTAGCCAGACCATAGCCTGGCAGAAGGAATAAATATGGAAGTTTTAGACTGGAGAAATACTTGGCAACTTGACCCTAAACCTTTGTTGGGATACCTACCTGAACCTTTGGTGTGGGTTGTTTTGTCTTTCTATAAAAGTCCTTGCAATCGATATTTTAGGCATCTTGACCCACACATTTGTATCTGTTCAATACTGACTCTGATTTGACAGCCACCATAATACATAGTCATAGTTGTATTCCATTTAGTCTTTATTTGTAGAAACAGGTGATTGGCCATATGTTCCTGATTCCTATGACAAGGAGTCATGAAAGATGGAAGAATTACATTTTAGAGAACTTGCTTTGGCTTCTGCTCTATAAAGTGAATGAATAGGGCAAATAGAGAAGCAGAAGTAATCATTGCCCGACTTAGATTGACAGCACTGTAAGAATTTGACTATAAGCCCTTAAAGGGCTTATTCTATTCTCTGCCTGATCCATGTAGTCTGTGTGTTATCATACCACAAATAGAAATGGTCGCTGTGTTATAGTGAACTGATCAGCCTTTGTTTTTCACATTTATTTTTTGTGTGTATATGCACGTGCATAAGAAAGGAGGTCAGAAGACAACCTCAGGAGTTGGTTCTTAACTTTTACCATGTGGGTTATATATAGGGCTTGAACTCAGGTCTTCTGGCTTGGCATCAGGTGCCTTTACCTTTTTCTTTTCCTTTTTATTTTTGTTTGTTTGTTTAGATTTTGTTTTTTTGTGGCAGGATTTCTCCGTGTAATAGCCTTGACTGTCGTGGAACTCACCCTATAGACCCGGCTGGCCTTGAACTCAGAGTTCCACCTGCCTCTGCCTCCCCAGTGCTGGGATTAAAGGCTGTGCCACCACCACCTGGCTTGGTGCCTTTTTGTTCTGAGACATCTTCCCAGTGTCTTTATCAGCTTTTGCTCACCAATAATTAAATATTTGTGAATAAGAGAGAATCTGTAGAGTTTGAATATATGATTAATGATACTCAGGGTGTCCATTTTAAGAAGACTATTCAAATTTCAAATTCATTTTGACAACGAATGGCTTCTAAAATAGGTGTCTATTAAAAGTAAGAACAATGTCTCCAAGCCATCAAAATGTTTCATTATCATTCATTGAATCTTTTGTGAATTGTACTCTTATATTTTTAGTTACAAGCCTAGCTTTTAGCAGGTAAGCCATCTCTCCAGCCCTTGGGGCTTGTGCTCTTAAAGTTACTATATATGATTTTTGTTGTTACCATTGGTATACAGATGACTTTGTGTATTTGACAAACTTTATACTGTTTTTTTCCTTTTCAGTCTCTTTGTTCCCAAGAAAACTATATTATTGATAAAAGGTAAGGAAATTTTTAATCTGTCCTGGTTGTTACCTATCCTGGTTATTATATAATTGATGCTAATAACAATTTAAATGTCTTTTTTAAATGCCAACAGAATCCAAGATGAGGACACTAGTGGTACCCAACAGAGGCGCCAGATATTTAGGTATTGGGTTGTTTTCCAGTTGGTGATAAAACTTGTATTTTGTTTTTTGTTTTTTTTTTTTTTTTCCTTTCTCCCATTAGCTTTTCAATGTTTTATTTCTAAATTACAGAGTCAATAAAGATGCTTCAGGGAGATCAACAAACAGCCATCAGAGCAGCACTGAAACCGAGTTGAAGTGCTCAGAGCCTCGGCCCTGGAGCAGCACAGATTCAGACAGCTCCTTCCGGAACCTGAGACCTGCTGTGACCAAAGCCAGCAGCTTTAGTGGGATCTCGGTCCTGACGAGAGGTGACAGCTCTGGAAGCAGCAAAAGCATAGGCAGGCTTTCAAAAACAGGTACAAGTCTCTTCCTAGAAGTGCACAGTCAGAATGCCACTTTGCCTAAAGTGTTAGCTTCTCATCGTGTGGTCTAATTACCGAACAATGTAAAGTTACCTTCAGCTCAGCAGGAGTGATGGCTGCACTGACATCAGGATTCATTTGGTCCTGGAGATAGAATTACAAACTAAAGTGCCTTGTCTGTTGCTGTATAAACTTAATCTCTTAGTTCAGTGACTCATTTCTTGTGCAGAGGAGGTGACTGGAAATTCTTCACTTATTTATGATTGGAAATCATGGCTTCTCGCCCAGGATTGTTTAATATTAGGTGTATCTCATACTGTCAAATATTGATTGCATTTTTTCATGACTTACCCTATATAAAATGGATAAAATTGTTGAGAAATTTTTGAGGAACTTAAAAAACAAAGGAAAATAATACACCTACAACTATTACAAATAGAAATTTAAATAGTCTGCTAATTCTTTTGGCTGCTTTGTACTACAAATACATTAGTCATAGCATTTTCTCTTCATTCTCACTACAGAATTTCATGTTTTTTTTTTTTTTTTTTTTTTAGAGGACTTTTATAGACTTTTTTTTTTTTTTTTTAATCTCAAACATGAAAGTTCTCTTTATCCTGTTTGGATTAGGTTAAACATACAATAAGTATTGTACAACTACATTTGGAAGGTATATTAAGACAACAGAATTTTTTAATATAGTATATGCTTCAAATTGCTAATGTTTGTGAATTCCAATTCTTATCTTATTTAAAATATAACTCTATTGCTAAAGACAGTAAATTTTATGAATTTTTAAAAATCTGTATACTTATCTGTATATTCTGCAGTTTGGTCATAACTGAAGGAAAATAAATCTCAATTGTGAGGAAGTCATTTAGAGAGTGCAAGATTCACCTGCTTCTGCGTTTCAGGTGCTGGGTTTAAAGCTGTGCACCATCATGCCTGACCTAAGTTAAAACATTTTAATAACTTGGGGCCAGTGGCCACTGAGGTTGCTCAGCCAGTCAGTACACTTTCTATACAAACCTGACCCCTAGAAGAAGAACTGATTTTCCAGAGTTGCCCTCTGACCTCCACATGCATGTTTTATCTACGCATACACACATACAATAATAATAAGTAAAAGTAAAATATATAGAATAACTTTTGCTATTTTATCTTAAGAGACAATGGGATGTTTTTATCCTTAAATTCCAGCACTCAGGAAGTAGAGGCAGGTGGATGGATCTCTCTGAGTTCCAAGAGAATCAGGGATACCCAAAAACAAACAAACAAACAAAAACTGTCTCGTAAAAAAAGAAAAGTGATAAAGTTGAAGTGTCATTTTTATATGACTTGGAGGAAGAGCTTTCTTCAGAAGGCATTGTGTATGGTGGATACTATTCATCACTTTCATTAGCGTCTTCATCCCAGAGTCAGCTCCCTTAATAACAAATTAATCAAACTATAAGTACTATCTGAATCCGTTTGTACATTCCATTGTCTGGTTATCAGCTCTCAGTCATCATGCTTTAAATGTCGGTAACAGCTTCAATCCCTGTGAAATAAAGTGTAGGCTTGAAAGTAGTCAAAATTCAATCATGAAATTAGTTAAAGTTTGGTAAGAAATACATTTTAAGCTTGTCCTAACAATACAGACTTGAATGTTTTTCGTACTTTTTTTGTTACTAGGTGAAAGAGAAAGGTAGTTGAGTTTACATTATAGGAGGATGCTGATTATAAATCAAGATGAAATTCTGTAGTGAAACTTGGCATTTGCTTGTTTCAGTAGATAATATATTATTTCTGTTGTTTCCCACGCCATTCTTAATGTATAGATCAGAGTTTCTGTTACATGAGGTTTTGGGCATTTGCCTGTGCTAAATTCTTTTTCCTGGGGAAATTGTAATTTGTATATTGCTAAGTGTTTTTCTAAAAGGTAAAATGTATATAGCGTGTCCTTTTGAGAGTGTCAGTAGTATGCTTCATTGGCTGTCTGTGCCTTGTGCTACTGTAAACTTGGTAAATTACATGCTTTGGCTGTGACTTTTCTTACCATTTCTGTGTTGCTGCTTGCTGTGTTAAACATACTTAGGAGGGTAAAGAAAAAAGAACCACTGGGCAGTAATCGTAGTAGCCAGTGCCATTATGTTATAACTGTGTGTTATAGGATATGAATTGTATTATTAGGTTTTTAAACCTGTATTTTTATATTGAAGTTTAGTTTTTGTTTTTCTTTTTTCCTTTAATACTATGTTTTTCATTGCTCTTCCTCTAGGATCTGAGTCTTCAGGTAGCGTAGGGTCCTCTACAGGCTCTCTTTCTCATACCCAGCAGCCTCTCCCAGGTTCAGCTCTTAGCCAAGCTTCTCATGGCGCACCTGTCATCTACCCGGCAGCCAGCACTCACAGCTCTCTTTCCTTTGATGGTGGCCTCAGTGGGCAAGGTGCATCTCCTAGCCCTAGCTTCCTTTTGCTTCCCTTGGAAGCAACTGGCATACCACCTGGCAGTATTCTGATCAACCCACAGACAGGTGGGTATCCAGAGAGGTAGTTTATAAGTGTCATTGTCCTGAGCACTTCAGCATAAACGTTTAGGCTATAAAATGCTAAAAGTTTTATTCATATTGTAAGGATTTTCCCCGTGTGACATCTATGATGTACATCTATGATGTATAGACTAGATAATAGCCTGAATATAATTAAACAACAGTGTATTCCATTGAAGTGATTTGACTACCTTTGAGAGAGGTTTATGTGATATAGCATTTTTATTCTGTAGCAAATATGTACTTTATGAAGAACCAAGTAGATGAAAACCTATAATGTCTTAAGAATATAATTACTATGTAATATCTAGAAGACATTGTGTAAAAAAAAAGGTAGTTGCTGTAATTTAATATTGACAATGTAAATTCTTAGCCCTTGACATAAACTAATAATAATTAATTTTTTGAAAATTTACTTTAGACAATATCTAGTTTGATAGGGTGATGCTGTGGACCCTACTGAGCTCATTATAATTAAAATATCTTCTAATGGGCAGGACAGATGACTCAGTGTTTCAAAAGTTCTGGCTTTTCTTTCTGAAGACCCAGGTTCATTTCCCATCACCCACATACTCAAAACTTTAAATCCTTCATTGATGACCTTTATAATGGCCCTTTTAGGTAGGGGAAACCCCATTACAGTAGGGAAATTGAAATATGTAGATACAGACAAGATTGTTATATAATTTTGCTATGCATAATCTATTGCCAATAAACTGATTTCATACTTACAAATTTGAAGCTGTCAATTTACATTTTAAACCTATTTTTTTGTTTGTTTGTTTTGTGTTGTTTTTAAGTTAAACATATTTAGTGTAGGCTTTAGCCCAGATTGTTTCTCGTTCCCTTGAAAATTTTTGAATGGTTTCCTGATATCTTTGAGTCATGTACTTTGTGTTTGAACTGAAATCCACACTGGCTCTATTGACCATGGTGAGGCTAGGCAGAGGTAGGAGTGCTAGGTCTTTTGAATGTTGTTGACCCTTTTCCTATGTTTACAGTTGCTGAACCACGGTCCTGTGATAGACTACCTGGAGCAGAATGAGATTCAGAACTCAAAACTTTCAGAAAATGTTCTTTTAAAGATTGCTTTTAGTTTATGTGTTTTGCTTGGTGTATGTTTATGCACCAGCTGAGTTCAGTGGCTGCAGGGACCAGGAGAGGGCATCAGATCCCCTAGAACTAGAGTTAAAGATGGTTGTGAGTTGCCATGTTGCTGACCGGAACCAAACAAACTTGGGTCCTTAGGAAGGGCAGCCAATGCTCTTAACTGCTAAGCCATCATCTCTTTAGTCCCTCAGAACATATTTTGATTATCCAGTGAGCTCAGTAGGGTCTGAAACAATACTTGGTTCCCAAAACCAGTGATATTTGAATTCTTATACTAAGGAAAAAATAAAGATTGTCAATAGCTTCATTTTGAATCAAGCTAAGAACAACTTTTGTCTTCCAGAATTGCGAGTTGTGGCTTGTTCATGAGGGGTTTATGGATGTGTTTTATAAATCAGTAGGGACGGTTTTATTTTCAGTCCCTGTTGTACATTGACTTTTTCCTCTTTCCAGGTCAGCCCTTCCTGAACCCAGATGGAACCCCAGTTGTGTACAATCCTCCCATGACTCAACAGCCAGTTCGAACCCAAGTGCCTGGTCCTCCACAGCCACCTCTGCCACCCCCACCACCTCAGCAGCCAGCAGCCGGTCACATTTTCTCACAGGTGCACAAATCCATGATTATGTAATGCTAAGTTCACCTGCCTTTGCATGTGTAGGGATAATGACTGAGATAGCCACGTAAGTATTTCCCACAGCTTTAATATTCTGTCCCCAATGATGTCCCATTCAAAGGTAGCTTATATGTGCGCTCATGCACTTTTTTCTGTAGAAGACCATATAATCATTCCACTAGTGAATGAATCTCTTAGTATAATTTCTCATAAGAGGTATGTGATGATAAGTTTGAACTAAAGAAATTTCATCCCATTTTCTCACAAGATGGGTCACTTATATATTGGTATGCTATTATACAATGGTATGGTGCGAAGCGAGTAGCATGTAAATAGTTGAGTTGCACTGTCACAAAGTGTAAAATTAGTGAGAGCAGCAGTCTCTGCAGGTAAGGCTCACGGCTGGGCATGTCAGCTTTGTTTTTCTTTGATCCCTAAAGTAGGGCTTATACAGTTTTAGAGATCTTCTAAGACCATATAAAACCATGCATTTACTAGAGCAAATTGCATAAAGCTCTGCCAAAGACTTCCACATGACCTCTTTAACCCCCTTATGTTGAATACACTTAAGGCTACATGAAACTCCTTCCTTGTCCTGCTGTGCCTTGGCTTCATTCAACTTGCTTCCACAGAATCTTTCTTTTGCTGTTATATTTGCTTTTGTTGTCTTTACACTGCTATGTGTTTCACCAGGAGCTTTATAGGACTGACTCCCACTTTTACTTAATTTGATGGAAATAAGGTTAGTACAGCTTTAAAAATCTCAAGAATTTCTTTGTGGTTATAGTTTATTATCTCAGACTATTGTCTCCTAGGAATGATTTTGCCTGGTGATCCTCAGACTTGTGGTTAAGAGCAAGTGTAGAAATAACTTTGTCCTATGTAGTTACTAATAAGGATATCCTAGATGAAGGTATAGAGAATGGTTTGGAAACAGATGCATTAAAGAGCTGAATTTCAGGTCTTGAGGTAAATACCCCACTTTATGATTGATTTAACCTACACATTTTTTGAAAGTGTTGGCAGTTAGATTGTCACAGAAACAAAAACTCATTGACTGAATACCCAATTGCTAGGATTTGTGCAATATCAAACACAGTAAATCTGTGGATGCCAAATATAGCCCCTTTGCTACATGAATATTGCTTTGTAGCCATAGTTCAAGTAGGCAAAGGAAAAGAAAGGTGAGATTTTTTCCTTGTCAGTGTGATATCAGGGTTTTATTTTGATCAGCTACTCTTTTTTTTTTTTTTAATTCATTTTACATACCAACCACAGTTTCCCTCCTCCCCACCCCCCTACCCACCCCCACCCACTCTGCAGAAAGGGCACTGACTCCCATGCAGAGTCAACAAAGCCTTCAGCTACTCCTGTAATTTAGCGTTTCTTTGCCAGTTAGCACTGTGGGAGACACTCGTTTATACCACAGGCTCTCAGCTCAGAGTCCTTCCTTCCGTTTCCCAGCAGACGGAAGTTCTTGTTCATCTGACACTTGAGTGGGTCAGACTGACTGACTGAAGACAGATTATGTCTTACTGTTTATGTGACTCAGCACATCATGGAGCCAGCAACTGCACCTCATTAGTGTGCTACAGCTTCCTCAGCTAGTTCATTCATGACAGAGGGGTTTGTCAGGTCAATCAGCTGCTCCACGGGTCATTTTATTTTTTTCATGTTTTCTTTTTCACCTTCTTCCTTTCTATTTTTTATCTTATTTATTTATTTATTACCTCTAAGCTAATCTGAACCTTTTACACTTTTAGATTAATCTCTTGACTTTGTGGTTCAAAAAAAAAAAGAATATGTGATCATTATAAATCTTAGTTATACAAACATTTTTTCCTTGTTTATTCCCTGTAGAGCATTTTAAGATAAAAATCAGGAAGTAAGAGTGAGAAGTTTTGTTTTTATTGACATAACTCTGATAGTAAGATTTGAAATGGCTATATTTCTATTAATCTACAAAAATGTTTACATTTATGACATAGAAGTTATTATTCTCAGTATGACATCAACTTGAGCCTAGGTATGTTCTTGCTGTGTAGAGTTCTTCATTTGATACTGTTTTTCTTGTTGATTGTTCTGTATTTTTAGTGACTTTTTAAGTGTTAAAGCTATTGCCCCAAAGTATAACTTTCCATGCTGTGCAATTCTTGTAACCTTTTCCTCTGACATTAACTGTTTGCCCACCTGTTCTTCCTAGCCTGCTGGTCCTCTGCAGTGCGCCTCTCAGCCTGTTCAGTGCTCTGCAGCCCCCTACCCATCCCCGCTCCTGCCAGTCTCACCCACCCAGCAGTACTCTGTGGTACTGTATCTCTTTTCACCTCATCGTTACTATGGGCAGTGTGTAGTGGATGCTTCAGACTGTGGTCAGTGGGATTTGCTCTTTTCGCTTTTATTCCAGGCATAAGTAACAAAGGTGTTTTCTAATTCATATTAATAATGTATTCCTTTCGATAAGACAGCGATTATATCAGCTTATCATAGTGCCGGTTTAAAACATAATATTCCTGATGTTTCTGAAGGGTTGTCTCAGGATGAATGTTGTAAACTAAATATTCTTAGATGTTTTAATGATTTTTCTCATTTAAGTCAGTTTTAAATCTGTTTAGTCTTGGAACGGCAGTGTCATGGGGTTTCTGTCGCTCTGATTAAAACGTGATGACTAACAGCAGCTTGGGGAGGAAAGGGTTTATCTCATATTACAACTCCCAGGGGTCACACTGTCTCCGTACGAAGTCCAGGCAGGAGCCTGGAGGCAGAAACTGAAGCAGAGGTCATGCACGGGTGCTGCCCATTGCCTCGCTCTTCATAGATTGCTCAGCCTCGTTTCTTACCCAACCCAAGACCACCTGCCCAGTGGTGGCACCACCCTCAGTGGGCTGGGCCTTCCAACATCGATCGATGTTTAATAAAAAGTACCACAGACTTGCCTGCAGGTCAGTCTTACCAAGACATTTTCATAATTGAGACTCCCTCTTACCATATGACTAGTTTGTGTAGTGCCCTTAATCCAAAATATGCCCTGAATTGTAACTGCCACTGTCTGTATTATCTCAGGCCCATAAGGCAAAGAGTAGCTTCTGCATGAGAAGTTTGCTTCCTTTGAAGTGAACTTCCTGGCATCTTGCCTGCTTTTACTAGGGATATTCTATGTTGATACCATTGACTATCCCATGTTGAAACTATGTTTCAAACCAGGTTATAAACTGTAGCTGAAAAACCATTCCTCGCTGCTTTTTGGAAATTTCTCTGTTGAGGTTGTTTTCCTTTTGAACTGAGCAACCTTATTTACCAGATTGTCTCTGAATGATTTTCTGAAATAACTTTCAGCTTGAAGGATAGAGAAATACTATTTATGAGAGACCCTTGACAGTGGTGTGTACATACACTACCTCTTGTAAGAATATTTAACAATATTACTTTGTAATTTAGGACAATTAGACATTTTCATGTTTAGAAACCATTTTCAGATATGCTGTTAGTCTGTTGCTTCCTGAGAGTGGGCATTCCATTTTAACTCTGTATCGTCATTTGAATAACTAATAAGAGCTAATGCTTACGCTGTCAAGTTGGGAACTGTATGTCATGTGGCTCATAAATTATAAGCCCCTGCCTTGTCTGGATACCACTGGTTTTTCACCAGTGATCCAGAAACAGGACACTCTGATTTACAGTATTTTACTGTTTAACTTAAGTGACAGACTGAGAAGCACTTAGAAGTTACTAAAGAAAAAGAATGACTAGTTAGATTTTGATGGTTGGAGATACAGACAGGCATCAAACCTGAATCCTAGAAAGAGAGGCATATTTAAAAGAAACTCCTTTCAGGAAATATTGACTATATAATATAAAAGTGTCCAATTTTACTTCTAAACCCTAGTCAGCATTTAAAATTCATTAAATACATGTAGTTGTTTTTTTTTTTTTTAAACTGGGAAATGCACCCTAATGATGTCCATTAGGTATATTTTCTAAAAAAGCACGTAATGATAGCATTATAACATACCTTCCCTCCTGTATTGCAGTTCTTATTTTCTTGAACCTGTTTTCTTATATCTTACCTGATTCACATATATAAGATGTCCATACCTACACAGCTACAGCTTGCTTATAAATGTATAAAGTATAGAGCCAGGTGGATATAGCTTAATTTGGGGGAGTACTTGCCTTACATGAACAGAGTCTTGGGTTCTATCATAAGCACAGCGCAAATCGGACATTGTGCTTTACTCCTGTAATCCCAGCTCTCAAGAAGAGACAGGAGGGTCAGAAATTCAAGTCATCTTCAGCTGCATGAGTCTGAGGCTAGTCTAGGCTACATGAGATACTCAAATAAAATAATATATGTGTGTGTGTATATAAAGCACTATCCACTGGTAAGTTTGGCTCACGAATAAAAGGCTCACTGACTGCCAACTTCTTTTCAACAGGATAACCTTGGTTCTCAGTTCAGCCACATGAGTCTTGCCCGCCAGCCATCAGCTGATAGTTCCGACCCTCATGCCACCATGTTCCAGTCCACTGTCGTTCTTCAGTCTCCACAGCAGTCTGGTTACATTGTGACGACAGCACCCCCACATCCGCCTCCACCACCTCCTCCTCCCCCTCCTCCTTCCCTGCCACCTGGGCAGTCAGTCCCCACTGCCAGTTTCTCTGCCTCTGGGCATCCTGTCAGCCAGCCTGGGCTCCAGCAGCAGGGGTATCTTCCTCAGCCCTCACCACAGGTGTGTTGCTTTTTCATGCTCTCTCTCTCTCTCTCTCTCTCTCTCTCTCTCTCTCTCTCTCTCTCACACACACACACACACACACACAGACACACACACACACACACAGACACACACACACACACACACACTGAAGCCTGTAACATGGGAACAGTTTGTGAGATAGTATAAGCAAAGCCCATAGTTACATCTGTATCTTGTCAAGCATCTGGGGAGCAGCCACATGACAGGTAGCTACAATTCAATTAGGTAGCTTACAGTATGTGTCCTTTGAATTTCCCTCTGTCTTTTAGGAAGTGTGTTTTGTTTTGGTTTTAGGAAAACACAGTGTATGTGTTAGTTAGGGTTCCTGGTGTGGTGATAACACATCATGACCAAAAGTAAATCGGGGAGGGAAGGGTTTATTCCATTTGGCCTACACTTCCACATCATAATCCATCAGAGGAGGAATTCAAAACAAGGCAAGAGCCTGGAGGCACGAGCTGATGCAGAGGTCATGGAGGGGTCCATTACCTGCTTTTCACCATGACCTGCTCAGCCTGCTTTCTTACAGAAGCCGGGACTCCTTGCCCAGCCTCCCTACAGCCTTTTCATTGAGTTATTTTAGCCATGCTTTTGGTTTTGTAGATTGCTTAGATTGTGTATGTACAAGATTGTTTCCAATGCCTTTTATTTTTGTGCCACACTGCAACTGAGCTAGGTCAGATTAATTTAAAAGAAATTTGCACTGGGTATCACATGGATCTCTGGGAATTCAAAGCCAGCCTAATCTGCAAAGAGTTCCAAACAAACCATGGCTACATTGTGAAGCCCTGCCTTAAAAATATAAAGAGAAAGAAGTGTGTGATGTATAAGCATACTATCTAGGAGGTGTCTTGGTCCTCTGGTTCTTACAGTCTTTCCGCTCACACAATCTTCAGTCATTTTCTTTAACCTAAGATGTAGGGGGTAAAACATTTCACTTGGGGATGGACATCCCACAGACACTCTGCGTTTTAAACAGTTGTGGATCTGTCTCTGGTGCAAAAAGAGTCTTCTTTGATGAGGGCTTAAGTGCTACATTTATCTGTGGGTACAAGGGTAAATAGAGTACAGTTTAGGAAAATGGCAGACATGGGCTCTTCCTGGGATCTGTAACCTCTCTAGACACAGGTAGACAGCTAGGTTTACTGTACCAAGCATGAACTCCTCCTACTGAGTGATCATTAAGTCTAGTTAGATAGCTGCTGGTACTCCAAGATAAGAGTGCTGCTACTGCATCATCGGGGACGTTTGTCAGGCTGTCGCTGTGATTTGTATAGTTAATAGATTGCTTTTCTCCATTGACAGCTTATATAGCACATTTTGATAGTATGAGAATTTGTCCTAGCAGTTGCAACTCAGCTCCTCCAAGTCCTATGTCTAAAGTGTGTGGTTTCCTCAGCAGTAAGGTCTTATTGTCAAGGTCTGGTAGGCAACAAAGAACAAAGCAGTTTTCAGTAGCTTTTCAGCAAAGCAAAAACTATTTATGTTTATAAAAAGAGAAATGTAAAACAAATACAGCAATAAAATCTAAATGTGATTGATGGACACAGAGGTAAATTCCCTTTGTTCTGTTTTGTTTGGTTTTGTAGGGATGTTTTGTTTTCTTTTTCATTTTTGTTTGGTTGGTTTGGTTTGGATTTTTTGAGACAGGGTCTCTACATAGCCCTGGCTGTCCTGGAACTCATTCTGTAGACCAGGGTGGCCTCAAACTCACAAAGATCAGCCTGCCTCTGCCTCCTGTGTGCTGGGATTAAAAGTGTTTGCCCCCACTGCCCAGGGGAGGGTATCCTTGAATGATATGTTGGATCTGGACTTTTAGTTTGAAATTTAGTTCAATATAGTTTACATGTCAATTTTCAGTTGGTTTGAAAAGGGTTGGTACTGTATTTACTGCTCATTGCATTCTGATGTGCCTCATGGAAAAATTACTTTTCAAGTAAAACTAATTTTTGTCCTCAATGCTTATGATTGCAGATGCCAGCCTGTTACTGTGCTCCAGGCCACTATCACTCCAGCCAGCCTCAGTACCGCCCTGTCCCTTCTGTCCATTATAGTTCACATCTAAACCAACCACTGCCACAGCCTGCACAGCAGACAGGTGAGTCAAGTTCTGATGCCAGGATCTTCAGCTATTCAGCTGTGGACGTTACCGTTTCCAGATTTACTTCAGTCTTACATTCAGATATTATCATGCTCAGTCTTTGAAGATCTCAGATACATGTGTGTGAGTGTGTAAGCCAGTCATATTTAAAGGAGTGGAAAAAATCTACACAGATTTGTATGATAAAGGGGTGAGAGCATAATAGGAAGGTTCTGCATAGCCAGATGTCTAGTGAGTATGTTGAATCCTCATGCCATGGTAGTAGAAGCCCTCTTTGTAGCCTATTAATTCCCTAAATAGAAATGGCAGAAAGTCATGCATAGTGGCCTCCATACACTAACCAGAATCAAAGAACAAAGCCTGCTAAATTTGATGCATTTGAACTTTAGTTAGGTAAAGGATGACACTTGAGTGTCAACGATGCCTGTCTGGTGAACTGTATTCTTATACATATTTCTTTCTCCTTTTCAGTTTGATATTGAATTGAACCCCAATCTCACTTTTTAAATACTGTCTTAAAAGGGCTGTTTAATAACTTAGCAGAAAGATTGCTTTGCAAACTTGAGCACCTAAGTTGGGTCCCCATCACCCACATAACAATGGGCACAGTAATACAGCACTGGCAAGGTCGAGTCAGGTGGATTCCTGGGACTTGATACCCAGCCAGCCTGAACTAATTGGTGTATTCAGAGATAGTGGGAGACCAGTTTCAAGAAAACAAGATGGACAACTCTTGGAACCATACCCAAAGACAAACTCTGGTTTGTACACAGGTGCCCTCACACCTTCAATTCTCAGACATGCAGAAAGCTGTCCTGCTGATTCTAATGAACTCCCTTCTGTTTCCATCCTGGTTGTGTCTTGTTACAAGTGTTTAACAAAAATTGGAGAGTTGAAGTTACAGTTTATTATCAGCTTTCATAGAGCATTTTGAGCTATCTGTCATTGTTGGAGGTTCAGATTCTGTGCAGAGTCATTTCACCTCTACCTGCACAGAGAAGCCTGCTGCTTCAGTACTGCCTGCTAACTGTTGAGAGCTACTTCTGTGCTGCCCCTTCCAGGAAAAGTACTGTTCTTGCTTCTTGTCCTCGTGCAGTCCCCGTCTTTTATTATCAGATAAGAGTCATAATTAGTACAACTCTACAGCCAAACTCTCCTGTTCTTAACCTGTTACACCGGGAAGTTTTGTGTTCCTAATATGCAGGCTTTTCTCTTTTTGTATGGACTAGCCCCTGTATTCTGTGTGCCACAGATTTTTTCTGACTGTTTTAACTAAGTTATCATTTGATCTGTTTCAAATGTAACTCCTTTTAACGTCAGATTTTCCTGAAACCTAGTAATACAACCCATGTCAAAAAATATAAACAGCATATAATCTAAGTTCAAAAGACATCAAAAGTTGTTCCTTGCTGTTGAGATGGCTCAGCAGGTAAAGGTGCTTACTGCACAGCCTGACGGTCTGAATTTGATGCCCATAACTAACCCAAAGGCAGAGGGGGAGAGAGCCAACTCCACAAAGTCGTCTCTGACTTCTACATCTGTGTCGTGATGTGTCACCTCTTTCTCTTTTCACACATACACACATCTTACAATAATAAATTACAAGTTTTAAAAATTATTCATCCTGAAGCCAAGTGTGGTGGTATACACCCTTAATCCTAGTACTCAGGAGACTGAGGCAGATGGATATTTTGAGTCTACAGAGCAAGTTCCAGGCCAGCCAGGGCTATTACACAGAGAAGCCCTGTCTCAAAAAACAAACAACAACAACAACAAAAAATTGTTTATCCTTAGGAACATTGATCATAATAATTATCATTTAATGTCATATACACAATTGTTTTATAATATGGGACCAATGACATATGCCTATAATCTCAGCACTCTGCAGACTAAGATTAGAAGGCTCACACTTGGGCTACATAGCAGCACCCTGTCTCAAAATGACAACAAAAAATAACAGTAAAGAAAGCATTTTTCTGTGCTTTCTGGGCCTGAAAATGATTGACTTATATTATTATTTATGTCTGATTTTTTTTTAAACCTTCCAAAATTATTTGTTTTTAATTAGGTTTTTTTTCATCCTATGGTTCTGGAAATGGAACTTGGGGCTTTGTCCATAGTAGGCAGGCATTTGCTGCCTACTGACATCCTTACCTGTGATGACTCAATAATTTTATAATACGTAAATTGAGTTTTAGAGAGATGGGTTAGAGATCAAGAACATTTGCTCCTCTTGCAATTCCCAACACCCACATGAAGGCTCAAAATCATCTATAACTCCAGTTTCAGGGAATCTGGGAATCTACTGCTCTCTTCTGGCCTCCGTAGGCACCAATCATGTATGTGGGGCCTACACATACATGCTGGCTTTGAAAACATTTAGACACATGAAAAGATAAAATAATCTACAAATCGTTTAATAGAAAAAAGTAGAGTGTGCCTCATGTCACTCACTGAAATACCTTTTATGGGACTTTCTGTGTTAATAAGGCAGCAAAGATTGCTGGGTGTTTATGCAAGTTTTTATTTTTGTTTTATGTTTATGGTAAAAATGTATTTCTTCCCATGATCAAACTATCTACAAAATAAGACCTTATGTCACATGTTGGGACTGAAATGCTAGTTCAGTTACATCTCTGCCCACAGACATTCCCACTTCATGGAAAATAATTAAAAATGCAAAATTGGCATAATATCTTTGTGATAGGAAGTTGTTGATCATTTGTGATACTTTAATTGTGGTTTTTCTGCTGTCGGTTAAGATGGAAGAGAACAGAACAGTAAACCAGACTGCATTTACACAGCCAAGCTGCAGAACAGGACGGCTTGTCCTTCAATAGCTTTGACATTGTCTGACACCTAGGTATCAGCATAATAAATCATTGTGATGAACTCATGGAGCTCCATCTGCTTCTGCCTCCAGAGTCCAAAGTTGTAATCATAAAACTATAGTTTGCTAACTTTTTTTATACCCTGCTTTTATATCTGAATCCTAATATAAGAACAAAGAACTAAAATATTAGACAATTTCTGTTTCTGTTCTGTTTACTGATTTCTGCCTCAATTTTCACATGTAAACATAGTTTCTGTCTTTTCTTTTAATACATTTTCTTATTTCCTTATTTTGTTTCCATCACGATTAAAATGTAAACTTTATCCACCACTTTTTTTTTTTTTTTTTTTGGTTCTTGTCAACCATGCTTCTGTATGCTAAAAGAACTCACAAAGGTTATTATCTTTAAATTCATAAAACAGTTGGACTTACCAGTCAGCCAAATAATGAAAAATTGAACGAATTTTCTTTGGCATGGCACCAGTAATACTGAAATGCTTACATATGAATTTAAAGAACATTTCCCCCAAATTAAACTCAGCCAAGTAAAGCTGGGCGGTGGTGATACACACCTTTAATCCCAGCACTTGGGAGGCAGAAGCAGGCCGATTTCTGAGTTGGAAGCCAGCTTGATCTACAGAAGAAGTTCCAGGGAGCCAGCGCTGTTAGCATAGAGAAACCCTGTGGGAAGAGGGAGGGGGTTCTGAGACCACACAGACTATGGACAATGGAAATAACAGATCTTCTGTTATTACCTTCTTTGTGGAATAAACATTGTGAAAATCTTTTTAGATAAAATGCTTTAGTGTTCTAACCATATCTGTGTCAATTTATTGATCTCCATGAGAATAAAATTCCATCTACTGTGGGGCCCCAACCAGACCAATATTAGAATCAAGGGAGTGAACTTTTCTTCTGTTGTGAGTATGAAATTGCTGACTGGTCATTCAAAATAGGATTGAGTCGGCACATATCAGCACAGACACTGTGGAAGTCCTGAATGCCCAAGCTTTCCAGACAATACAGTGTATTATGAAAGACCAGCAGACTGTTAATCAAAACCCTAATGGTCCATGGTCCTTTTCTCTTAATTTTTTTAACAGACTTCATGTTTGTTTGTTTATTTTACATTTTATAGGTGTTTTGCCTTATGGATGTCCTTGAATTACATTCATGCAGTATCTAGGGAGGCCAGTAGAAGGTGTTGAGTCCCCAGGACTGTAGTTACATACAGTTGTGAGCCATCAGTGGATGCTGGGAATTGAACCTAGGCCCTCAGTAAGAGCCGCAAATGCTCTTAACTAAGCCATCTCTCCAGTACCACGGTCATTTTTAACTAGTGCTAGTTGTGTTAGTTATAAAGCCTGGGGCTTTCAGTTTGCTCACTTACAAAATTAAGGTGTGTTATTGTATTGTCTAGCCTCTGTGAACTTAAAAATTGGAAGATTCTGTTTCTCTTGAGCCATATCAGGTTTAGAAAGGTAAACATCATCTGAGAGATGGTGGCATACACTTTTAATACCAGCATGGCTGTCAGGGAGGAAGAGGCAGCCAAATATGAGTTCCAGGTCAGCCTGATCTACAGAGCTAGTTCAAGGACAGCCGGGGCTACACAGAAAACCCCGTCTTCAAAAATAAAAACAAAACAATAACAACAAAGGCAAATATTAGAACTGAATTAAAATAGTTTGGTGTCTTGCTGTTAATAACTGCTGTCATGCAAGCAGCTGTTTCAAAAGATCTGTAATTTGCCAGTTGCAATACTACACAAATTTATTATTTTAACCCTTTGCTTAAAAGGTAGCTTGGATACTGTACAGTATAATGCACATTTAAAGAAATGGACCCACAGGGGGTGCCTTTAAAAAAGAGTTCGGGTCCTGGCTATATGATACATAGCTGCTTTCATTCTTAGGACTCTTGAGAAGTCTGCAGCTTCAGCATGTGTGGTTAATATTTTACAATAATTGGCCTTGTCCTGAGCTGTTGGATTCGGGGCCGTAGCACTGTCTGAGAGGCGTACATTTCTCACAGTGAACCGGTCTCTTTTTCAGCTGCTTCCTGGCTTCCTTTTACTCAGGTTTTAACTGCTCTTTTTCTTTTTCTTTCCCTTTCTTTTTTTTCCTTTTCCTTTCTTTCTACCTTTCTTTTTTGTGCTGTC